GTTCACCAGAAAGACAGAGAGAGACAGAGAGACAGAAAGCAAGAAATCACCCCTCAGGAGACATGGCCATATCATAATCCCTTCTCCTCCATTCTCCTCTTGGGATCTTGGGCACACACGCACAAGCACCCGGTGTGAATTTAAGCTACCAGGTCCAGGACTCGAACCACGGTCAACTACAGGGGAGTCCGGCATCATAGCCATTATGCCAACTGCTGGTCCTGGCCCCAGTATCTTGAAAAACACACCGGGCACATTTGCATGCATGCCCAAAATTTTGACAGAATGGAGAGGTGGAAAAAGGATTTCAGTGTGACCATGCCCCATGGAGGGGGTGCTTTCTCCCTCTCTATCTCTATCTTTATCCCCCTATATGAGTATAACATGCCCTCTGGCAATTAAAAAAAAAGGGAATGGGAAACCTTGGAAACTGTGAAGATAAACTAGCCACTATGAAGGTATCAACAGATTCTGACATACCAAGGATGAGTTTGGTTGGCAAGGAGAGACCTGGAGAGGGTGATGGTGCTCATGTGGGTCAATGTCTGGAGTCTGGGTGCCATCTCCTGGAGACAACCCCGAGGGCCTGCTGGCTGAGGAGTTGCTGATCAGTGTTTCTCTACTGTGCACTGGGAGGGTTGTATAAATGACACACCTCAAATCCACGAGTGTCAAACTGTTGTGTTTGTGGATGAACTGGGACTATGTTAGTCACATCTTTTTAAAGATTGGCAACAGTAGTGGCCTTCGAAGGCTTTGCTGTGGCCCAGCCATAGTAGTGCTGGTGGGTGATACCGCCACTCAGCAGGCTGAGGGCACACAGGCGGCCAGGATTTGAGTCCCAGTCCACCCTAAGGGCTGAGTGTGGTGGAGTGTGCCTACCAAGGAGTCTGGGGCAGGAGGGTCATGGCATAGTGAGAGCCTGTGTTAAATTTATTGTTTTATTGTTAAAACTTTATTTAAAAAAGCCTAATATCAGGATTATTCGCTACCCATCAATACGATGTTTTTAGGACTTTCTTAAAGTTGATGTGTTTTCATGAAAATACACACACACATACACATGCAAAACTCAGATCAACTTTTATTGACGCTAGGCATTTTCTGCCTGAAGTAGATTCTCAGTATATCCTGGAGGAATTGGACTTTTCCTCAAGGTTAAGATGTTCAATGGGAAAATAATTGACATGAATAGTTTTCCTACTAAAATGTTTTTAATTATGCAAAAGGAAAATGTGTGCCAAGTGTTAAACACATTTAGATGGTCGGTGTGATCTCCAACTGAACCACTTCAGACATTTTTATGGCGAACTAACCTGCCCCTAGGAACTGCCATACCATCCTGGGAATTCACAAGCCTCAAGAGGTGACCCGTTCATCCAGGAGTTAATTCATCTTGGAGATGATTGCTGCACATAAAATTTTACCTTTCCCTTTGACAATTTTTAATCACTTTAATGAGCTATAATCATTGGATAGTCAAGTATGTTTATATGAAGCATACAGCGATCAATTTTGACGTATAAATACACTTGTGCTATATAGCACCCTGGTCAGCAAAATGAATGTATCCGTCACCCTCCAAAACTTCCTTATTCCTGTTGGGTAACCCATCCCGCTCTCCCTCCTCTCCTCTCTGGTCCCCACACGACCACCGATCAAGTTTCTGTCACTGTGGATTAGTTTGCATTTTCTAGAGTTTTATATGGATGGATGCACACAGTTGGTACCCTTCTTTTGAGAGAAGGTTGGCTTCTGTCACTCAGCACAACCATTCTGAGATTCATCCATGCTGTTGTATCAGTTTTTTGTGACTCTTTATTGCTGAGTAATATTTCATTGTCTAAAGAGAATGGATTGTCGGAAAAGTCATGACGTATTTATACTATATTTTTCTATGCAAAAATGTGTCATGACTTTTACAACAACCCAGTATTACATTTTGTTTATCTGTTTGCCTGTCTGTGGCATGTTGGTGGTTTCTAGGTTTTGGCTGTTAAGCTGTGATGAACATTTGTGTACGAGTGCAGCTTTAGAAGGGCATGTCTTGGGACCAGCAGTTAGCATAATGGATATGTCGCTGGACTCCCATGTAGTCGACCATGGTTCGAGTCCTGGACCCAGCAGCTTAGGCTCATGCTGGGCGTGTGTGTGTGCATGCCCAAGATCTTGAGAGGAGAATGGAGGAAAAAGAATTGTGGCATGGCCATCCCCCTGGGGAGTGATTTCTTGCTTTCTCTCTCTCTCTGTATCTCTCTGTCTTTCTGGTGAGCGTACGCACCCTATAGCAAAAACCTCTCCCCCAAAAAAGAAGGGCATGTCTTGGCTTAGATGTACAAGTCTATGTGGACATAGGCTGTGTTTTTTTGTTATTGGTAAATACTTAGGAGTAGAATGGCTGGCTCATATTTTTTAACTTTTTAAAAAACTACCAAACTGTTTCCCAAAGTTAATGCACTGCATTTTCCATTCCCACCAATAATGATTAGAGTTCTTGTTAGCTCCATATCTTTGCCAGCACTTGCAAATATAAATGGAATATAGCTTTATACTGTATTTATATGTAAACACCCATAGTTATATACATATGGTATAAATAAACATAACTATAGTTATATATGTATTAACATAGTATGGTATAAATATATATACTAATAGTATGTGTTATATATTTGTGTGCATATATGCACATATATGTTTGTACATAACCATATTTATGTATAAATATGCCATTTAAGTACATGTACATGTTCTATTCAGTGCTCTCTGATTTTCTTTTCTTCTTCTGAGAACCTGTATTTGAATTTGAGCAAGTGGAAAGGGACCAGCCTTCTAGCCCAGTGGTGAAGCCCTGTGTGTAGGGAGCCACATCTCACATGGCTGATCATGGTTCAAATCCTAGCCCTGGTGGCTTGAAAAACACATTAGGTGCTTATGCAATGCCCCAAATTCTGATGGACTGGAGAAATGGAGAAAAATAGATTGCAGTATAACCATGCCCCATGGTGGTGGTGGTGGGGGGTGTGTTTTCTCTCTCTCTGGTGAGTACACATGCCTTCTGGCAATAATAAAAGAGGACAAGGAAAAAAAGTTGAAAAAAAGGAAGTGGAATGTGCTTGTGGCTTGGCCCCACTCCAGGATCCTCAGAGCTCAGGAAGACTTCTAGAAGTGTACGCAGGACACTGTTAATGTTTGCTACTCCTGGGAAAGGTGGGGGTTGAGGAGAGTGAACCAGTAACATGTACATGAGACTTCAAGAGAAACTCTTGGGAAAATGGAATTAAATATGAGTTTATTTTGGTGCAAAAGTAATGGAAATCCATGCATACGTTTTCATAATATGCATTTTCTATACCCTTTCTGAAGACCCTATGTACTTGATGCGTACTTTCAAAGGGAAAAGAAAAAACGTCCTTTTCTACTCTGATTGCTATTCTCCCTTCACTGTTTCCCTGTGGGGTACAGGAGCTTCTCCTGGCGGCTGCCTACGTTTCTGATGCCCAGTACAACAGAAACGTCCCCTTCGAAACCTCGCCTCAGGCCATCAGGTAATTAACATGTTGATCGGTCACTGTGCTCCAGTTCTGTGTCCTTGAAGTTGAACTCAAACTGAAGGTGTTGCTTCTACAAGTCTTCTAAGAGGTTTATAGAGTATGGAGCATGCATTTGAATAAAATCCACTACATTTTTTAAGCTATAAGAAAATGGTTTCTTGGGCCAACTCTGTGAATTCTGCATGGCCACTGTGCAGTTGGACTCTCAGCCCTGGAGACCTGAAAAACATGCAGTGTGCGTGTGTGTGTGCCCAAATCCTGATGTGACTGAGAAATGGAGGAGAAGAGATTGTGCCATGGCCGTGCTCTGCTGGGGGCCTGCTTCCTCGTTCTCCCTCTGTCTTGCCCTGGGGAGCTCACCTGCCCTCTGGCAAAAAACAAAACAAACAAACAAACAAACACCCTAGTGCTGCCTTGCAGGTAGGGAAGCACTCAACAAATAGGTCAGGAACAGGTATGCAGCGTGGACGACACCTGTGCAGGGCATAGAGCACTCCAGCTAGGAAGCTGCCATCATCTGTTTCTCCTGTAGCTGTCCTCTCAGAGCTGCTGAAGTGAAGAGAAGAGGAGGCTTTTTTTTTTTTTTTTTTTTTTTTTTTTTTTTTGTCTTTTGATGCAATCCACACATTTGTTCTTCTCCTAGGAATTCGACTTTTTCTCTGTCACTGCCTAAGAGTTGAGATAAGACCAAGTATTTGGCCCATAATACAGGAAAAGCATTTCTTATGAGAGCTGAGTGTCAGTGTCTCCCAAAGCAGCCAGTGCTTCATCCCCTGGGGCCGTCACAGGTGTGGAGGGCTGTCCCCATCTGGGAAGAGAACTGCATGATTGTCAGGCCTCTTCTGAGCCTGCCATGTTAAGATGCATGATGTGTGCTTAAAAAAACAAAAAGAAAGAAAGAAAGAAAAAACACCAGACACATGAATGAAGGTTATCTGTTGATGAGAATGTATATGGTAATATCTTTGACTTGATTGTTATGCACTCCATTCATGCTGGAAGAAACCATTTTGTACATTGCAAAGATGTACGGTGGTTAAATGTACATTTAAAAGGTATCTAAAAAAAAAACTAATGATGGGAAAAAACAAAAAAAAAAAAACAAAAAAACAGCAGGCTAGGTTACCATGCCACAGAAGAGGCCACTGTACCTGGAGGTTGACTGCCTCGGTCACTGTTCAAAGTCCTCTGGAAGTAATTCTCTTAAAACTGTCACAGCAGTCCTGGGAGGAAGGTACTGCTCTCAGCTCATGATTGTTAAGGAGCTGCATGGAATAGGATACTATTCGTGATTTTCTGGTAAGTGTTTTGTAGTGTGTGCTCATTAAACACCACCCTGTTCCTTAGGCTGTGTAGGAAATGTAAATATGTAGGAAATGTAAATGAACTCTAACTTCTTTATTTTACCTCGCAGAATTTTTTAAAGAGGAGTTTAAGTCCCGTTTCACTTCTGCTCCTTGTTTATCACTACCTTTGCTTTCTTCCCCCTCCAGACTTTACTATGTTTATAACCACTGGACAATGCGAGCCGCCACATACTTCTTTATCGGAGTAGACCTTTCTCTCGCCCTGTTTGAGGACCCTGCGTTGTTTTCTTTACCTTTCTTGGTAAGCATTAAAGATGGATGACTGGGACCAGGGGATGGCATAGTGCTCATGCAACTGGACTTGCTTGAGAAGGGTGTTGGCTTCATGTCCCCAGACCTCCCTGAGCACACGAGACACGTGTGCGCCATGGTCTTGGCTGCCTGAGGCTGGGTGCTCTTGGTGCAGGGGGCCTGCTGGGGATGTCTATTTCTCTGTCTCTGTACCTCTCTCTATTTCTCTCTGCCTCTGTTCCTCTTTCTCTCAGGGAAGAAAGAAAGAAAGAAACTTACAAAGTAAAAGGGCGATGGCTAACCAGATTTTGTTATAAGACAGGTAGGGCCCATGCCTCTTCCTTTTCTGCCTCAAGGTTTAAGAATTAGGAATTTGGTTTTATTTTTCTTGCTGGGAGTCGGAAGAATTCCCATCTATGTGCCAACCCAGTGCCTCAGTGAAAAGCATCTGAAGCGCAGTGAAAGTTTCGGTCCCCGGTACACACCAGGAAATACCAGCTAGAGACGAGACCATTTTAAAAGCGTGTCTCCTTGTTGCCAGCTGTACTGATGGTCTCACGTATGACGGTCTCATGAATGACGATCTCGTGTAGTGCATGTACCTGCCATGTTTTCAGCTTTTTCACGGCCGCGTCGTTGGAGTGTTTGTGGGTGCTTCGTAGCTAACCACACGTGATGTCAGTAATACCGTGTATGAACAGGGAGCCCAGAGGGGTCTAGATGGCCACCTGACAGCCTGCTCATGATGACCGCATCTCTGTCACTGCTCTTGCCTCTGTCTTAACGGCTGTCACTCGCTGGGCTTTCTGTCTGCTGCATACTCTGTAGGTTTCCTCTGCATTCTCCGTAAGCGTCACAGTAACCTCATGATATTATCATCCTCATTTAACAGAAGACGCTGGGTCTTTGGAAGGACCTGTCACCTGTCCAAGGTCACTTTGCAATTGCGTAGAATGTCAAACTCCAGTCTGCTGGTTTCAAAGCTCTTTTCTTCCTTTCTTTTTCTTTTTTCTTTCTTACTTTTTTTTCCCCAGTAGGGCACATGCACTCACCCCATGGAGAGAGACAGAGAAGTGAGAAGTCACCCCCCCAGGGAGGTGGCCATACCTCAATTCCTTCTCCTCCATTCTCCTTTCAGAATTTTGGGCGTGCACTCACATGTGCCTGGTGTGATTTTTAAGCCATTGGGTTCAGGATTTGAACCATGGTCAGCTAGATGGGAATCCGGTGTCTTAACTACTATACTACCTGCTAACCTTGAGAGTCCTTACTTTTCAATGGCCATATAGGCCCTCACTTTATTCTTCCATGATCTATTGCTATGTAACAAACCACTCCAAAATTCGAACAGTTCGGAGTCAACTGAGCTGTAGCCCCTGGGCCAAACAGTACAGCCTGTAAGTTAAGAATGAATCTATAGATTGGATGTTTGTGTCTCCTACAATTTACGTGTTGAAACCTAATCTCTGTGTGCTGGTATTTTGAAGGGGAAACTCAGGGAGGTGATTAAGTCATGAGGTGGCGTTCTCACCAATGGAGTTAACGCTTTTATATTAAGCGTGCTTTCTTCTTCGCGTGAGAACACAGTGAAAAGATGGCCACCTGTGAGCCAAGCAGTGGGCCCTCACCAGACGCCAAATCTTTTGTTTCCTTGAACTTGGATTTTCCAGCCTCCAGAACTGTGAAAATATGTTTCTATTATTTATAAGCTGCCCAGTCGATGATATTCTGTTAGAGCGGCCCAAACAGATTAAAACAAATGGATTTTGTGTTTTTTAAGTGATGGGAGAAAACAAAAGAAGATGAATATTTGCGACACATAAAAATAGTATGGAGTTCAAGTTTTGGTGTCTGCAAATAATTTTTTACTATTAGGTCTTCAGGAAAGTCATGACATATTTTCCTCTGTTTTTCTGTGCAAAAATGAGTCGAGACTTTTCCAACAACACAACAGAACAGAGCCACACGTAGTCTCTTGCATATTGTCTGTGGCTCCTTTAGAGCTACAACGACAGAGCTGAGTTGTCATCATAGACTGTCCAACTTGCAAAGGCTAGTGTGCTCACTCTCTGGCCCAGAGAAATCTCTCTGCCTTCTAGCTTTAAAGAACAACAATCCTTTATTTATTTATTTATTTATAAAGAATTATTTATTCAATTTTATGTATTCATTCATTTATTTTTTCATTTGACCAGAATGAGAAACAGAGAGAGACAGAAAGAGAGAGAGAGAGAGAAAGGCACCCGGTCTGAGACTCGAACCATGGTTGGCCATGTAGGAGTGTCCAGCATGTTAACCACCACGCCACCTGCTGGTCCTGACAGCAGCCTTTTATTTTCTCCCATGATTCTATTGGTGACTAGGCTCAACTAGGCAGGTTTTCTCAATGACTGAGTGGTAGATATTGGGGAGCTCTGTAATTCTAACCTAGTGACAAAACAAACATAAAGTCTGAAAAAACAGAGCTGTGCATTCATAGATCCGGGCAGAATGTAGCCCATCCCTCCCCAGCCCTGGCCTACTCTGACCGAGGTGGGAATTCCAATGTCATCACCCAGTCACCGTCTCTTTCCCCGAGTCCTCAGCCCCCTGCTATTGGTCATATACAGTTCTGTGCTGGCTGCTTGAGTTTTAGTGTTCCTTAGCCAACGCTTACATTGTGGGTCTCTAAAGTCAAATGTGTTAGGGGCAGATTTGGACTCTTTCAATACCAGTAATCCCATCCTGTTGTGAACAGGGTGTTCTGGAATTACTCCGGGCCTTTTGCAAGCCTGACATTGACAGTGAGTCTCTGTAGCCTTTCAAAGGCAAATACTGAGAGCTGGAAGGTTTGCAAGGGACCGAAGCTCAGCCTGTGCCCAGGACCGTGAGGTCTGGCAGGAGAGGGGGCAGGTGATTATGTTACCTGCTGTTTTCAGGCCCAGAACCAGCCCCTTCCTCCCTTACCCTTAGAAAGTCCCTTCTCTCTGGCCTGTCCCTCTTCCTAGCCTAAGCCAAGTTGCCCCTTGCCTGTTTCCTCCTACTTTGCCCCCTCCTCTCCTTACTGATAGAAAAAAGTCCCTTGTGGCCACCTCAGAAAAACTGTGGGCTGCACTTGCGGGCTGCAAGGCTGCAGAGAGTTTGGGGCTGATGCCCCATAACCCATGGAGGGAAGCCAGTCAGGACTTTGCAGTAGATCTGGGTGGACTGTGTTCTCTCCTCTAACTAGCCAGATGCAGGCAGCTGGGCTGCATGGCTGTGATGTTGAAGGAATGCACAGCATCACCAAACATATTAGAGAAATAGGATTTCTGCAGGTCTGTTCTGAATACAAACATGGGGAATTTGAAAGCGTGGAAGGTACCGACTTCTGTCATCCCTGACTTCCCCCTTCTCTGGGGAAATGCATTCTGGGTCCTCACCCTGCTTGTTCTACCCTGTTTTGTTGTTAATAATAGGAACCACCTGAAACAGGATGATTTTTTCAGCTCATAGAAGCCCGAGCTCCAGGGGCCCTTTCTGCTTCTGCCTGCGTTATAGCATGGCGGAGGGCAGGCGAGGTGGTCTGTGTCCACGTGTCTGTCTGCCTCATTCCCTTTTATAAACCCACGAGGAGTTAGTCATGGAGACTGACTGATGACCTTAATTGTAATCTTTCCCCAAAAGCTGCATCCCTTGACACCATTGTCAGATCAAGTTTTCATTCTTTTATATCACATTGCAGTGACTCAACACCTGAATTTTCAGGGCACTTAGTCACACTCTAGCAGTGGACTATGGCCTTTCCCAGGAGGTTATTGTCAGAAGCCCTGAAAATACCGGGGATGGAAGTCAGGCCTCGAAGGCAGGTTTCTTTTTATTTATTTTTAATTTTTAAAAAAAGTAATTGAGGGAACCAGCAGTTAGCATAATGGCTATGTCGCTGGACTCTCATGTAGTCGACCGCAGTTTGCATCCCAGACCCGGTGGCTTAAAACTTACGCCAGGTGCGTGTGCGTGCGTGCCCGAGATCCCGAGAGGAGAATGGAGGAGAAGGGATTGCAGCGTGACCATCTCCCCTGGGGGGTGATTTCTCGCTTTCTGTCTCTATGTCTCTCTGTCTGTCTGGCAAGCGCATGTGCCCTATAGCGAGAACCTCTCCAAAAAAAAAAAAAGTAATTGAAACAGACACTCAGAAAATGTTTATTAATTAGCTGGGTGACATATTTAGTCAGTTATAGATTTAGTGACTTAAACATAATATGCATAGTTTTGGAGAGAGATAGATGTAACTATTTTCTGTTTATTGATAGAGACATGAGTTTTATTCTTTTTTATTTATTTTTAAAAATTTATTATTTGGAGGGGCACCTAGCAGCATGGTGGTTAAGGCACTGGATTCTGCGTGGCTGACCATGTGGCTTGAATCCTGGATTCACTGGCCTGAAAAACACACCAGGTGTCTGTGTGTGCATGCCCAAAATCCAGAGGACAGAATGGAGGAGCAGGCCTTGTGGCATGGCCATCTTCCCTGGAGGGGGTGTTTTTTCGTTTTTCCTTTCCGCACATACCCTGTAGCAAATTTTTAAAAAAGAGAGAGCGAAAAATTTTATTATAATTTTTTTATCTCATAATTTCTGATTTACATTCAATTGTACATCTCTGTGGGGTACAGTATGGAGGTTGGAAGGGGGGGAGTGGGGCCCGACACATGAATGCATGTATGTAAGGCAAGTAGGTATGAAACGCTGTACTGCAACGGGTTTCCTTTTAAGAGGGAAAAATATTTTAACCAGCAACAATTTTACTGCAACTTTGTAGAACAATGAGGGGGCATGGCTACTTCTCAGAGTGTGCTGGGAGGAGCGTGTGGTGGCAGTTGAGAAGGGTATGAGAGAACTAAAGCCAAGCCTCCCAGTGGCAAGGCAGGGTGCTCAGTCTCTGTGTCTCTTTGCAGGCCACCTCAGTAGCGGAAGTTCTCTGCCTGACTGCATTCTTTGGGAGACTCGTGCATTTTGCCAAAGTCACTCCTCAAAGGGTCTTTTGGAACAAATGTGTTAGGGGCAGATTTGGACTCTTTCAATACCAGTAATCCCATCCTGTTGTGAACAGGGTGTTCTGGAATTACTCCGGGCCTTTTGCAAGCCTGACATTGACAGTGAGTCTCTGTAGCCTTTCAAAGGCAAATACTGAGAGCTGGAAGGTTTGCAAGGGACCGAAGCTCAGCCTGTGCCCAGGACCGTGAGGTCTGGCAGGAGAGGGGGCAGGTGATTATGTTACCTGCTGTTTTCAGGCCCAGAACCAGCCCCTTCCTCCCTTACCCTTAGAAAGTCCCTTCTCTCTGGCCTGTCCCTCTTCCTAGCCTAAGCCAAGTTGCCCCTTGCCTGTTTCCTCCTACTTTGCCCCCTCCTCTCCTTACTGATAGAAAAAAGTCCCTTGTGGCCACCTCAGAAAAACTGTGGGCTGCACTTGCGGGCTGCAAGGCTGCAGAGAGTTTGGGGCTGATGCCCCATAACCCATGGAGGGAAGCCAGTCAGGACTTTGCAGTAGATCTGGGTGGACTGTGTTCTCTCCTCTAACTAGCCAGATGCAGGCAGCTGGGCTGCATGGCTGTGATGTTGAAGGAATGCACAGCATCACCAAACATATTAGAGAAATAGGATTTCTGCAGGTCTGTTCTGAATACAAACATGGGGAATTTGAAAGCGTGGAAGGTACCGACTTCTGTCATCCCTGACTTCCCCCTTCTCTGGGGAAATGCATTCTGGGTCCTCACCCTGCTTGTTCTACCCTGTTTTGTTGTTAATAATAGGAACCACCTGAAACAGGATGATTTTTTCAGCTCATAGAAGCCCGAGCTCCAGGGGCCCTTTCTGCTTCTGCCTGCGTTATAGCATGGCGGAGGGCAGGCGAGGTGGTCTGTGTCCACGTGTCTGTCTGCCTCATTCCCTTTTATAAACCCACGAGGAGTTAGTCATGGAGACTGACTGATGACCTTAATTGTAATCTTTCCCCAAAAGCTGCATCCCTTGACACCATTGTCAGATCAAGTTTTCATTCTTTTATATCACATTGCAGTGACTCAACACCTGAATTTTCAGGGCACTTAGTCACACTCTAGCAGTGGACTATGGCCTTTCCCAGGAGGTTATTGTCAGAAGCCCTGAAAATACCGGGGATGGAAGTCAGGCCTCGAAGGCAGGTTTCTTTTTATTTATTTTTAATTTTTAAAAAAAGTAATTGAGGGAACCAGCAGTTAGCATAATGGCTATGTCGCTGGACTCTCATGTAGTCGACCGCAGTTTGCATCCCAGACCCGGTGGCTTAAAACTTACGCCAGGTGCGTGTGCGTGCGTGCCCGAGATCCCGAGAGGAGAATGGAGGAGAAGGGATTGCAGCGTGACCATCTCCCCTGGGGGGTGATTTCTCGCTTTCTGTCTCTATGTCTCTCTGTCTGTCTGGCAAGCGCATGTGCCCTATAGCGAGAACCTCTCCAAAAAAAAAAAAAGTAATTGAAACAGACACTCAGAAAATGTTTATTAATTAGCTGGGTGACATATTTAGTCAGTTATAGATTTAGTGACTTAAACATAATATGCATAGTTTTGGAGAGAGATAGATGTAACTATTTTCTGTTTATTGATAGAGACATGAGTTTTATTCTTTTTTATTTATTTTTAAAAATTTATTATTTGGAGGGGCACCTAGCAGCATGGTGGTTAAGGCACTGGATTCTGCGTGGCTGACCATGTGGCTTGAATCCTGGATTCACTGGCCTGAAAAACACACCAGGTGTCTGTGTGTGCATGCCCAAAATCCAGAGGACAGAATGGAGGAGCAGGCCTTGTGGCATGGCCATCTTCCCTGGAGGGGGTGTTTTTTCGTTTTTCCTTTCTCTCTCTGTCTCTCTGGAGAACGCACATACCCTGTAGCAAATTTTTAAAAAAGAGAGAGCGAAAAATTTTATTATAATTTTTTTATCTCATAATTTCTGATTTACATTCAATTGTACATCTCTGTGGGGTACAGTATGGAGGTTGGAAGGGGGGGAGTGGGGCCCGACACATGAATGCATGTATGTAAGGCAAGTAGGTATGAAACGCTGTACTGCAACGGGTTTCCTTTTAAGAGGGAAAAATATTTTAACCAGCAACAATTTTACTGCAACTTTGTAGAACAATGAGGGGGCATGGCTACTTCTCAGAGTGTGCTGGGCAGGAACGTTTGGTGGCAGTTGAGAAGGGTATGAGAGAACTAAAGCCAAGCCTCCCAGTGGCAAGGCAGGGTGCTCAGTCTCTGTGTCTCTTTGCAGGCCACCTCAGTAGCGGAAGTTCTCTGCCTGACTGCATTCTTTGGGAGACTCGTGCATTTTGCCAAAGTCACTCCTCAAAGGGTCTTTTGGAAGGATACAAAAAACATCTGCATCATGGTAACCATAGCGGTGAGTATTCATCATGGTGTTCGTAGGAGTTCATGATCAAAGGTGGAAACCATGAAGAACAAGGTTGATAGATCTGCCTTTGTACAAAAATAACGTGTTGATGTAGCAAACACCATAAACGTGGCTGCAAGCAAATAACAGAAGAACAAACATGGCGAAATATGACAAGGTGGGGCCAGCTGGTGCTGTGATGGTTAAGGCCAACTGCACTGTTCAAGTCCTGGACCCGGCATTATGAAAAACACACTGGGTGCGTGTGTGTGTATGCCCCAAATCCCTGGAGGAAAATAGAGGCAAAGGGATTGTGGCATGGCCATCCTCCCGAGGGATGGTTTCTCACTTTCCCTTTCTCTCTCTCTGTCTGGCAAGTGCATGTGCTGTGTAGCAAAATTAAGGGGAAGAAAATGACAGAGTGGGGACCAGCAGTTAGCGTAATGGCTATGTCGCTAGACTCCCATGTAGTCGACTGCGGTTTGAGACCCAGACCCGGTGGCTTAAAACTCACGCTGGGCATGTGTGCATGCGTGCCCAAGATCCAGAGAGGAGAACAGAGGAGAAGGGATTGCAGTGTGGCCATCCCCCCTGGGGGGTGATTTCTCGCTTTCTGTCTCTCTGTTTCTGTCTGGCGAGCACATGCACCCTATGGCAAAAACCTCTCCAAAAAAAAAATAAAAAGAAAATGACAGAGTGAATATTTTAACACATAAGAATACTTCCAAATTAAAGGGGAAAAAAAAAAGATATCCCAGTGGGAAAATATGCTGAAAATAGGTGATGGCACGTACAAAGAAGAAATACATAAAATGACTGGTGAAATTACTGAAGAGGAAAGATAATTAATTAAAAATATAGATTAGAACAAAGATAAAATACTACCGCATACTTGCCTATAAAATAATATTAAGCCTGAGAGGAAACAAACCTTGTACTCTGCTAGAGAGAGAAGCAAAACTATGTTTCTGAAAGGCCATTTGGCCGTTCATTTCTCTTTTAATTTTCTTTCAAGTTTATTTCTTCCATGAGCCAAGAGAGACAGACAGCACGCTCAACAATGTCTTGATCCCATGACCCGCCCCAGCCTTGGCCAGCCTGGCTGTAGTTCATGCCCGGAGTACTCAGGGAGGTCTCCAGGTGCAAACCTGGAACTTTCCCATGGATAGCTGCATTCCGATGCTATTGCAGGACCAATTGTCCAGAGACCTACCTTGGATCGCCTTCCTCCCTTGCTCAAAAATGTTTAGAAGCTCTGCAGACCATTGAGGACAGGAACTCCACTGGTCTCTACAAACACGTCTCACTCTGCTCTTCCCTCCAACCAGCCTAGGTGGCCTGCTGTGCCCACCCAGGGACCGGGGGTCTTTCTCTGCTCACAGTTAGTCTCTTACCTGGGATATCCATGGTTGCTTCTCCCTCTTTCTCTAAATACTTGTTTAGACATTTCTTCCCATGTTGGTGGAGCACTTAAGAATGTGTGGGATCTTCAAAACGTTCATGGAAAGTGTGTATTAAGAAAAACTATGTACGGGCTTTGGAGTGTTTTGCATCAAAATAAGCCCGTCATACTCTAATTCCATTTTCCCACAAGCGTTTTGAAGTCCTCTTATATGCAGAGTATCTGCTTTTCTGATTTTTAGACATGTATTCCTTTTCTATTATTCACATGGTAATAAATTCAAGCACACTCACTGGGATGGTACCTGTGACCTCAAGCCTGGTTTCCATCCACAGCACAGTGTGGGAGAGTGGAGGATAGAGTGGGTGGGAAAACTAAACACAAAACAGAAACAAAAAAAGAAAGGGGATTATTATTTTGGGGGGGAGAGGTTTTTGCTATAGGGCATGTGCACTCTCCAGAAAGACAGAGAGAGAGAGAGAGAGAGAGAGAGACAGACAGAAAATGAGAAATCACCCACAGGGGGGATGGCCACACCGCAATCTCTTCTCCTCCATTCTCCTCTCGGGATCTTGGGCATGCACACATATGCACCTGGTGTGAGTTTAAGCCACCAGGTCTGGGACTCAAACCGCAGTCATCTATATGGGAGTCCAACGACATAGCCATTACGCCAACTGCTGGTCCCTAGATATTCTTACTTCTGTACGAGGCTAGACATCCTTTCTTTGACATGTCAGATGGAAGAAAAGTTCAATAAGATGTAGTGAGGAAGCATGTAGCAGTGCAATTAGTAGCAAGGGCTTGGCCCTCAGGCTATCTGGGTTCCAGTCCCAGTTCGACCCCTTACTATCTGTGTGACCATGAGCTGTGTGCTTACCCTCTCTGTGCCTCAAGCTCCCTCAGCCAGTAAGAGTATCCACCTAGTTGATGTGGTGAGCCAAAAATGAAATCTAGGCTCATGCAACAACATCTCAGTGATGGCCGCATGTCCCGTGGTCACATAAGAATTAACAGGCTATATTATATAGCCTAGATGCAGAGCAAGCTATGCCACTGATGTTAGTGTAAGCACAACCTGTGATGTGCACACAGTGGTGAAGTCACTAACTACGTGTTTCTCAGAATGCGTCCCCGTCATTAAGTGACACCTTACTATAATCTATAGAAGGTGCTTGTTATACTATACGGCACACAGTAAAACCAAACATCAGCTATTGTTAATGTTATATTAGAAAAATGGGAGTAATGCTATTTATGAAACTTGCTTTTTTTTTTTTTTGAAAGATTTTTGCTACAGGGTGTGTGTGCTCGCCAGAGAGACAGAAAGAGACACAGAGAGAAAAATCATCCTCCAGGGGATGACCACACTGCAATCCCTTTTCCACCATTCTCCTCTTGGGATCTTGGGCACACATGCACACATGCCTGGTGTGTTTTAGAGCTGCCGGCTCCAGGACTCGAACACCTGTCAGCTATGTGGGAGTCCAGTGATGTAACTATTACACCATCTGTTGGTCCCAAAACTTGCTTTAAAAAAAAACCAACAAAAACAGGGACCAGCAGGTGGCGTGATGGTTAAGGCGCTGAACACTCCCACATGGCTGAGGATGGTTAGAGTCCTGGACCTGGTAGTTTGCTTTCTCACTTCCTCCCTCTCTCTCTCTCTCTCTCTCTCTCTCTGTCAAATTAAAAACAAATGAATGAATAACTAAATAAAGATTTCCTAAAACAAAAACAAAAACACATTTGAGAACACACCACACACTTTCAAAAAATGTTTATTTATTTTATTTTTAACTTGTTGTAGGGTATGTGTGCTCACCAGAGAGAGACAGAGAGAGTGAGAAAGCGAGCCGTCAGGCCCAGGACTGAGACTGCAGTCAGCCATGTGGGAGTCCAGCATCTTAACCACACACTACCTGCTGGCCCTGAAACTTGTGTTTTTCTCACATGAGGCTCTCCCTCTGGGTCGGTAAACAAGCATGCCAGTCACCCTTCCCCTGGCTTTGACAGCGCAGTGCTGATGTCTCTGCTGTGTCTCTCACAGTTGACCTTGGCTGATCTCATTATCTACGGGTCCCTGGAAGCTGTTCACATCCACGGTGTTCGATGGTCAAGGGCCTTAAGGCCAGTTTTCCTAATTAACTTGCCTGAAAGTCGCCAGGTAAGGAGACCGTGTAGGCTGGTTTGGTGTGGTTTGGTTCTTGCAGAAAGCTAGATTTCTTGTAAATGAAATGCAACTGTCTCCTCATAGATCCGAAGGGCTTTCCGCAGCATCCGGAACACTCTGCCCGACATCTTCTACGTCTTTTTCTTGTTTATGTTCAGTGTGCTAGTATTCTCCCTCATGGCCTTGAAGCTTTTTGGGAATAGGTGAGCACACATCTCTGGAAGTTTCTGGCCTACCAATTCTGTGAATTCCCTGTATGTGGGCTAAGTCTGTGGGTGGCAGACTCGGTCACCGGATACTCCCTGCCTTGTTCAAAGTACTCCAGGAGGCTCTGAGAAGGGGAAAAGTGTGTCAGGAACACAACTTATGTGTGTGGTTTTCACTTAGTGTTTTCGATTCCTCCTTAGGAGTCTAAAAACAGCTGAAGGATCACCTTACTTCGAGAACATCCTGGAGATAGCGTTTGAGCTCTACGTGCTGGTCACTACCGCGAACAGTCCCGATGTCATGTACGTGCGTCTGGGTTCACGAGCGCCTGTTTCCATAACAGCATTCTGTCACTGGAAGGAGCTGTCTGATCCTCGCGGGGCTAGAGGGAAAAAGTAACTTTCTGTCCTGTCTTAGTGACCGTAAACATTTGGAAGAATATATACTGTTATACTCACGATAATGAAACGGTCTCTGTTTTAAAGCAAATTGAGATAGATTCTTTGTATTTGAGCCTGCATTCTACTGTGGGAGCTTCCTGAAGTCCTGGATCTAGAGACCTAAGCCATCTTTGTAAAAGAGTCATGGTCCGTTCTCCTAAGCCATGATTCTTCTGAACCGGGATGCAGTTTTTTAGCTACATGAAACAAGGGAAAAAAGTAAACTTCAGCAGTTGGTCCTACCCCCACCCCCCAAATTCCAGTTCTCCGCATGTGTGAACATGAGGAAATCTCCTGTGGGTGGCTTTATCGTCTTTAGAGGAGTAAAACTGCTGGACGGCGCGACAGTGAGCAGCTAGCTCTTCAGCTCTCCTGCACGGTGGAGCTGTAACTGCAAACGTCAGTCTGCCCCTCATCTGATAACGGGCTTTGGGAAGGAGCCAGTTATTCTGCTCTCATCCAGGCATGTGTAGGATCTTTAGATCAACTAGGTCTTGCTTGGGGCTCACTCTTGGGCCCAGCCCTGCTGAAAACATGAGCAAGGTGTAGTCCTGGGCCCTGCTTGTGTTCTCTTGGGTCTTTCTCACAGACCCCCAGCTGCTGGCTATGCCAGTAACCCCAGTGGGACCCCTCTTATAGGAAATCCGGTCCATGAAAGGTGGAGTGAGCACATGGCCTGGTTTAAATGCCTCTTGTCCTGCCATGATTATTAGCAGCACCCCTTTCATTCTTAATGTCCCAGGGTAGGTAGGAAATGATCTGGGCCCCCAGCCAAAGCAATCCCATGTCCTGCAGACGCCTGAGGGTAAATCCAAGTCACACTTCTGATTCTGTCTGTAATTCTGGACAAGTTGTACTCCTTTCTAGGTCTTGGTTTTCTCATCATGAAGGGAAAGAAATGGATTGGCAGATCACTAAGACCCTGCCCAAAAGCTAACACCTCCATGAGGCACTAGACATTTCAAAAGGGTGGGACCAGCAGTTGGTGTAATGGCTATGGCGCTGGACTCCCATGTAGTCGACCGCAGTTCGCGTCCCGGACCCAGTGGACCCCGGATGCATGTGCATGCCCAAGATCCCGAGAGGAGAATGGAGGAGAAGGGATTGCGGGCGTGGTCGTCCTCCCTGGGGGGTGATTTCTCGCTTTCTGTCTCTCTGTCTCTCTCTCTCTGTCTGGTGAGTGCACATGCCTTATAGCAAAATCCTTTCCCAGAAAAAATTTTTTTCAACAGGGCGGGACCAGCAGTTGGTGTAATGGCTATGTTGCTGGACTCCCATGTAGTCAACTGCCGCGATTCGTGTCCCAGACCCACCCAGTGGACCCCGGGTGCGTGTGCGTGCGTGCCCAAGATCCCGAGAGAACGGAGAAGGGATTGCAGCGTGGCCATCCCCCCTAGGGGGTGATTTCTCGCTTTCTGTCTCTCTGTCTCTTTCTATCTTTCTGGCGAGTGCATGCACTCTATAGCAAACAAAACAAAACAAAACAAAACCTTTTAAAAAAATGTCAAAAGGGCAAGTCTGAAACCAACTGTTTAGCATTTGATGGGATGCTGGCTTTGAGGTCCCATGCACTACTTGGGGAAGAGTCAGGGTGAGAGAGGGTTTTCTGGTGCCACGAGCACAAGGGTTGTGCACATGAGATGTCTCCAAAAGTTATAACTACATGTACTATGGAGCTAGGGTAAGAAAAACATAATTCTTAGGGTAAGGAAACATAATTCTTTCTTTCTAGGATGCCCGCCTATGACTTGAACTCGTGGAATTCTTTGTACTTTATAACCTACATCATCATCAATACCTATATCTTCATGTCCGTCTTTCTGGCTGTCGTCTACAACAATTACAGGAAGCACTTAAAGGTGACTTGCATGAGCTGGGGGGTGGGGACCGAAACAACTGGGTTGGCGCCATGGTAGGATGGCTGGCCGGTGCACTTGCTAAGTATTTAGAGTGTCCAGGTGGTGGATCTGAAGGCTTCTTTGCTGTGTCACTCCCTTCTGCTAAGCAGGGCAGTTCTTTACCAGTTTTCGCGATGGGTCTGACACAGTGTCTGAGGAGAGGCAGAAAGAGGATCTAGCCAGGGCCCCAACACCCTGTGGGCAATGTCAGGTCATTAGCTCCTCGTTCTTAACACATTAAACAGCTCATGGGTCCTTGAAATGTATTGCGTGTGATTGGGGGATAGGGCTATTTTCTCCAAGCTTCCAGTTCCTTTCCTCCCCTCTAACAGAAGCAGAAATTTCCCAAGGCTCATCAACAGTTTCTGCCCGGTTCTTGCCTGTTTGACTTGGATCTGGAGAATTCCTTGGGCAGAGGCTCCTGATTGCCTGGGAAGGGAGGGGATTTTCTTGTACCTGAATGCCTGGGGACACCTCAGCCGGCTGTTTTCCCTCCGCCATTGCCACCCACTGCACACATCTCTGGATGGCAGTTTCTTTTACTGTAAAACGTGGTGCATAGGGTAAAGGAAGATTTTCACTATGGAAAGATAGAACCTTTTGGCCTTTGAATTTATTTTGAATTTTCATTGCTTATGGGTATCCCCACTAGGGGTCAAGGAAGGTCGGGGAGAACCTCCACCTCTGCAGCTGAAGAGAAGCGGGTGCTGGGCCAAATCTAAGATTTGCCTGTTCAACTTTTGAAAGTGTCTGGCTCTGGAGCCAGCCTTGTGACTTAGTGATTAAGGGAGCCGGATCCCACACAGCCAATTGAGTGGTTTGAATCCTGGCCCTGCAGCATAAGAACATACTCAAGGGTCCAGTAGATGGCATAATGGTTACATCGTTGGACTCCCACATAGTCAACTGTGGTTTGAGTCCCAGACCCTGCAACTTAAAACTCATGCCGGGCATATGTGCATGCATGCTCAAAATCTTGAGAGGAGAATGGAAATGGAATTGTGGTATGGCCATCCCCTCCATGGGGTGATTCCTCATGTTCTGTCTCTGTTTCTCTCTGTTTCTCCAGCAAGCACACTTGCCCTGTAACAAAAATCTCTCTAAAAAACAAAGAACGACAACAACAACAAAAAAGCTTAGTGTGTGTGTGAGCATACTCCAGATCTCAAAAGGATGAAGAAATAGAGGAGAAGGGATTGTGGAGTGTCCACTTCCCACTTGTGGGATTTCTCTCTGTTCTCTGTCTCTGGCGAGTACATGATCTCTCTGGCAAAATTTAAAAAAGAGCCTGGCTCTGTCCAGGTCCTGAAGAGTCTCTGCACTGAGGGAAACTCAGTCCTCCTAGCCCAAGGCCTGACCTCCTCTGGCCTCTTCCACCCACTGGCAGGGAGGCTGTTCCAGAGGATCTGGAGCACCTCCCTCTCTTTATCTGCTGGACAGAACTGTTGCCATGCCTCCTCTGCCCCCAAGGAAGTGTTTTTTCTGGTAGCCCCTTGGAAATTACTCTTCTCCAACATGCATCAGCCAGCAAACGTATCTGACATGTGCTTTGCATGCCTGGCACCGTACAAGGGCTGAGGAGTCAAAATGTAAGGATGTACAGTTTAGGAACCAGCAGATGGCATAGCAGTTACACTGCTGGACTCCCACATGGCTGACCGTGTTTCAAGTCCTGGACCTGGTGGCTTGAAAAATCATGCTGGGTGCATGTCCATGCATGCCCAAGATCCTAGGAAGGGAATGGAGGAAAAGGGACTGCAGCATGGCTACCCACCTGGGGGGGGGTGATTTCTCACTTTCTCTCTCACTGTCTCTCTCTCTCTCTGGTGAGTACATGTGCCCTAAGGCAAGAACATTAAAAAAAAAAAGACTGTCCAGTCTAGCTGTGTAATTAATTAAGCTATGATGAGTTTGGATAACAGACAGGGAGCAGCAGGAAGAGGCACAGTGGCTGGGTGGCTGCTAATAACCTGTGGGAGGCTATGGCGCGTCCCCCATGCTGTAATACATCCTGTGGTCAGGCCAGACGGCAGCTCTAGGCTGGTCCTGGCTGTGCTCCTGCCATGTAGCCTTGTTTCACTGACTTTTCTGCTCTGTTTTCTCTCTCGACTGACTTCATGATAGCTCTGTCTGCCTGCCTCCCTGCTCTCTCTCTCCCTCTCTCTCTCCTCGGCAGCACACCTGATCTCCTCCCTTTCTGGAATCTGCACGGGACAGAGTGGAGTCGAAGCCATTTGCCTCCTGTCCCTCTGTGTCCCACCACCCAGATTTGCCCCCAGGGCTGCCTCGGTTACACTTGGTAAGATGAGCGCCGTTGATGCAGACGGGTCCGCTCAGTGCACCTGGAGCCGGGAGGGGTATTGACCTAGCATACGAGCAGACCCACCAGTGACTTCTCATGGGTTCTGGGGATACCTGAAAAGTTTGGGGTAAAGAAAAGACACTTTCTTGCATCTTTCTCTTCAAACGCACAATTCTGTTTTTTTAAGAATGAGATTCGCAAGCTGGCATATCTGAAACGTCACAAAATGATAGAGGCATTCAACATTCTGAAGGTCAAGGTGGGCACAGAGTTTGTGGTGACAGAGGACGTGTGGAAGCGGCTGGCAAAGGTGGTGGTGCCAGACATCAGCAGCTCCCACCTGGAGCTCCTTCTGAGGATCTCCGACGAGGGACAGAAGGGGCACGTGGGTAAGGCGCCTTTGCCTTTCAGGTTCAAGAACAGGTGGTTTCTCCAGGTGATGGATAAAACAGCAGGGCTAGTCACACGTTTTCTCCATTAGCAAATCAGGGTATATATTGGTGCTCCCTGCGGGCAATGATCCCATGGAATATCCCATTCACTGTTCTACAAGGTTCTACATTTTCTAAATCTTTATATGATATTCAACTTTGGTGTCAGGAAGAGCTTAGTGTTATAAAGAGACCACTTATTCTTACTGATTATTTTTAAAATAATTATATCACTTAAAAATTTTTTTATTTATTAGTATTATATTTAAAATTTTCTATAGGGCATGTATGCTCACCAGAGAGAGATGGAGGGAGTGAGAAAGCAAGCCACCAGGTCCGGGACTCAAACCAGGGTTGGCCATATGGGAGTCCAAAGCCTTAACCACCAGACCACCTCCTGGCCCCAAAACCAGTTACTTATACATAGAGACATAGCATTTTCATTTCTTCAGAAGTCTTCGGGTAAATGCAGACTACTGTTGACCTCAATATTCATTAGTCCAATGTCAAAACAGAAAGAAAGAAAAAAACCAAATTAGCAGTTTCCCTGAGAAATTTTTCCTATTGTGTATTAGTTTTCTAGGGTGGCCATAGCAAGGTATCCAGACTGGGTGGCTTAAGCAACAGAGATTGATTTTCCAGCAGTTCTGGAGGCTCTTAGTCTCAGGTCAAGGGGTGGTGGGGGTGGTTTCTTCTGAGGCCTCTCCTTGGCTGCTGACAGCCATCTTCTGCCTATGACCTCAAAGGGTCTTCCTTCTGTGCTTGTCTGTGTGCTAATCTCCCCTGCTTATAAGGACACCAGTCACAGGATTAGGCCCGCCCTAATGGCCTCACCTTAACTTAATTAACTCTTCGTGGGTATGGAAGGTTGAGACTTCGCTATATGAATTTGAGGGGCGCACAGTTCAGCTCACAACACCTACACTGCCGGGTCTGGCGTGGATCATCAGGGATCATCACCGTCCTCCAGGGCTTTCTTCTATCTATGGGTTACCTTCCCTGCACTTCCCCGAAACCCTTATCTTTCCATCTCACAAAGAAAGCAAACTGTCACCTCAGTCGTGTTAATATTCTCAGTTTATCAAAAGCTCAGACTCAAACATTTACTCTGGGAGGACAGAGCTGCAATGGTTCTAATTCCTCTGCCAGTAGACGTCTCCCTTCACACACGTGACTTCATCTAGCCTACAAATCCATGTTCAGTAAAACTCAGCAAAGCCACAAGATCACAGCCTCATGATGACATTCAGACATGTGTGGTCCTCTTACTTCCTAACGGCCCTGATGCTGGAAAAGTCGCTCATGACCTCCTGAGCAGGTTAGAGAGCTGGGAGAGGTAAGCAGGTGCCCTGAGACACGCACCCACAGGTTCCTGACCTCTCGTGACTGGCTCATAAGTGGAGGCGGCAAAGTGGCTGCAGCCTCACCCCTTAACCCGTCCAGTTTTGTTACCTGAGTCATGAATCTTTTTGTTTCTGTAGGGTGCATGCTCTCACTGGAGAGGGACAGAAAGAGAGAGAGGGAAAATGAGAAACCATCCTGGGGGGGGGGGCGGATGGTCACTTCACAATCCCTTCTCCTCCATCCTCCTCTTAGGATTGTGGGTGCTTACACACACGTGCCTGGAGAATTCTCTCTGGGTTCAGGATTCAAACTGTGCAAATGGCCATGTTTGATCTAGCGCCTTAACCACCACACCCCCAGGTCCCCCTCATGAACCTATTTGTAAACTAAATGAACCAAGACTTGAAAAAAAGAAACCTGTCAGAGTCATTTGAAAAAAATGGAGGCTATCAGAGTCGTAGATTTTATTATAGCTCTGTAGATGCGGCAAGACCAAGGTGCCAGTGAGTTTAGCAGACTTCTCCGTATTTGGCCTGTAATCAAAGAGCAGTGTCCCTTCAAATATTATTACCTGGACAAGTATGTCTTAAAGGAAGACAGCCAATCAGATCTGTTGGCTTCTGCGACTCGGAGATTATGTTTCACAGGGCATAGGAGGATGTTTTGCTGTCTTGAGAACCTCCTTTGTTCAAGTAACACTTTCAAAGACAGTTTTTTCTTTTTTAGAGAGAGAGATTTTTTTTTTTTTTTCTATATGGCACATGTGCTCTCCAGAGAGCCAGAAAGCGAGAAATACCCTCTAGGGGGATGGCCATGCTGCAGTCCCTTTTCCTCCTACTCCTCCCGAGATTTTGGGCATACATGCACAGCTCAATGTGAATTTCAAGCCTCCAGGTCCGAGACTCAACTGCAGTCAGCCACGTGGAAGTCTAGTGCTTTAACCACCATGCCATTCACTGGTTCCTCGAAGGAAGTTTTAATCACAGAAAGACAAGCGGGAGTACATGCTTCACTATGGCTTGAGATCTGCACAATCAAGGGATGATGTTACTTCCAGGAATATTTTCTCTTTTTCTTCTTGATCAGCAGCTGTAAGGATTTGTGGTTGCTGAGGCTAAACATTGGAATTCTGTTAGTACTGAAAGTGGTAAAACTTAAATCTAGTGTTAATCTGAGAAACACAAAACTTTCACTAGAATAGACTTTTTTAAAGAGTTATTTATTTAATTCTATTTATTATTATCGTTATTATTATTATTATTTTTTAATTGGACCAGCGAGAGACAGAGAGAAAGAAAGAGAAAGCAAGCCATCAGATCCAAGACTTGAACTGCAGTCGACCATGTGGGAATCCAGACCTTAACCACCAAACTACCTGCTGGTCCCACTGAATAGAACTATTAACAAAAAGAACATGAAGAAAATAATGTTGTCTCTACCACAAGGCTTGGCAGATGATGGTTCATATGCCTCTGCCTGTTTTTGTGAAGTTTTGCCAAACACTGGCTCATGCGCTTATGGATCACGTGTGGCTGTTTTCATGCTTTACTAGCAGAGTTGACCAGATGGCCTGCCAACCCAAACAGATTTACTTTTGGGCCCTTTATAGAAAGAGTTTGCTGACTTGTAAGCTACAACACTACATAACAGATGGGTAAAAAACTCCTTCTTAACACAAAATTACAATGCTTTGTTTGGGAGGGGACGTAGGATTTTTCTTTTACTAATTAATCTAGATTAAAAGATGTGAATCTAGTGAGATTGATGGATTCCCTACTGGTCGTCGTTATTTAGTGGCCAGAGGTTTGGGCTGGATTGCTTCTTAGTGACCTTGGTAGGTCACCCTGACCCTAGTTATTGCTGTCATCCCAGTTTCCTTATAACCTCTGATGGAGTTCATGTAGCCGAGTTCCCTGGATCTATGTTATACATGTCCATGTCACCTAATTCTCCAACGCTGCACTTCTACCTATGGGTTTTACTATTAGGATGTGAATGTCGGGAACCAGGTGGTGGTGCAGTGGTAGCACAGCTGGACTCACATGGAAAAGATCCTGGGTTCGTATCTCAAGACCTCCCTGAACACATCAGGCTCCTGTTCTAGGCTGAGTGAGACTGGGAATTGATCAGTCTTTAAAGACCATGTTAGGAGGGGGCCATCTGGTGGCATGGTAATTGTAGCTGGCCGAAGTTCAAGTCCTGGACCTGGCGGCTGCTTGTTTTCTCACTTTCTCTCTCTCTCTTTCTCTCACTCTGTCCCTCTTTGGTCAAATAAAAATAAGTAAACTTTTTACTTATAAAAAAATTAAATAAAGTTAATTAAACAATTCTTTTTTTAAAAAAAAAAAAAAGACCCTGTTGGGTTGTCTCTCTCTCTCTCTTGTTCACACACACTCTCTCTCTCTGAAGAATAAATTAATAACAGTAATAATAAAAGATGTGTATGTGAAGTTTCCTTCTAATTAAATATCTGGAAATTTGACAGGCCCTAGATGTCTAAGTATGTTTTTCATTCAATTTGATGGACTCAGTTTCTTTCATGTTCTTAGAACCATATGCCATTAAGAGACAACAGCAACATTAGTGTTTAATATCCCTTGAGGCTTTCTGCCAGGGTCAAGGCCTTTTCTAAATCTGGGAGTCTTCCTAGCCGGTTCACAATATCTTTCTTGCGTAAGTCACACAATGGTATCACCTTTGGCTCCATGATTCTTTGCTTACCAAGGTGGAGATCTGGGTACCTGCTAGGCACTGTAGAAGAGAAGCTTCCTAGGTTTTTCAAATGACTGCCCCAGTCTTTCACAGTTGTCATGGCTATACCTGATTTCAGTAGCTTTCTTTAGAGTTTCCAAAGCATTCAACTGAAGTTTCGAAGAAGCAGCAACGCCCTTTGCACGTTCTTATTTCATCCATCAATGTGCTGTTTCTTTAAGTTACGTGTGATTAGGACCAGCAGGTGGCACAGTGGTTAAGGTGCTGGACTCCCACATAATTAAGCACAGTTTGAGTCCCGGATCCGGTGGCTTGAAACTCTTGCCCAGTGCATGTGTGTGTGTGTGTGTGCTCAAAACCCCAAGAGGAGAATGAAAGAGAAGGGATTGCAGCATGGCCATCCACCCTGGGGCGTGACTTCTTGCTTTCTGTCTCTCTAGAGAGCACATGTGCCCAATAGCAAAAATCTCTCTTAAAAAAAGAAAATGATATGTGATTACCAGATGTTCATGCATAAATAGGCTTGGGAACCAGTCCAATTGATGTGTGGTCAGCATCAGACCCACCTGGTGAGAGAGAGAGGTGCACAGGGTAGTGAGAACAGCCTATTGGTCCCCCAAGTATTTAGCAGATCTGAAGAGCATCGGTGGGTTCAGGTTGGTCAAGAAAGCTGGCCACTGAGTTTGGCCTGGGGTGGCAGATGAACTTGTGGATGTTGGTTTGAATGAGCCCCTGGGAGCAGAGTGGGAAGAGCAGAAGGTAGGGGCTCAAGTGGAAGGTCTGGATTACATGTTCTGGGAGGCTTTATGAAGGGGAAGGGAAAGGGGTTGAGGCTAGAAGGTAGAGCAGGGCAGGCACTGAAAGCATGAGAGTCTGAGTGAGGGGAAAAGCAGGGTGAAGACAGGGAGTGAGGTGGTGGCACTGAAAATGAACAAAACCACATATTGCTACCTTGGCGTGGCTGAGGCTGTCCTCAAATCTTACCTGCTTGAGGACAGGTAAGAGACTGGGGAGTGAGAGACTGGCTCTGCCACTCACTGGCTCCTTGGCCTCACCTGCAAAATCCAGAGCTAAGAGTCTATGCTGATGTGGCTTCACCCTTTGTGCCTAAGTGTCACAGTGCTCATGCATTTGGGAGTCATTTTCTCATTGCAGACAAAACGAACTTTCTGCGCCTGGCTGACCTCCTCAACATCCAGGTGGTCACTATCAACATCAGGAGACATCCATTGGAGGCCTGGCTCCCACGGGTATACCAGTCGTCTGCAAGCCTCTTGGTCCAGAAGATGGTCCGGCACAGGCAAGTGAGATGGGGTTAGTTTTCTCTCAAATGACTTTAAAAATAGAGAACTCTGTCAGCGCCATCCAGACAGCCTGTGTTTCATCATCAAAGCTACACATCAGCTCCCTGCTTGCTACTTTTAATTTCTCAAGGAGGCATGGAAAGGGTTCTAAGCATGCTAGATTAGTTCAAAGCACAGGTGTCTAGATTATTCTACCTTCTGTGATGTTTCCTAAGATGCTCAGGAGCCATGGACTAGGGAACCAGCAGTTAGCGTAATGGCTATGTCACTGGACTCCCATGTAGTCGACCGCGGTTCGCGTCCCGGACCCGGTGGCTTAAAACTCACGCCGGGCACATGTGTGTACATGCCCAAGATCCCGAGAGGAGAATGGAGGAGAAGGGATTGTGGCGTGACCATCCCTCCCGGGGGGTGATTTCTCACTTTCTGTCTCTATGTCTCTCTATGTCTGTCTGGCGAGCGCATGCGCCCTATAGCAAAAACAAAAACCAAAAAGCAAAAAACAAACCACCTCTCCAAAAAAAAAAAAAAAAAGGAGCCATGGACTAGAACTAGATGTGCCCTTTACACCAGGAAGCTGACCACTGAGTTTAGAAAATCCCAACTCCATGGGCATAAATATGAAGTTGATGTTAAATGTAGCATGTTGCTTCCGTGAATCATATGGTAAGAACTCATGAGTTAGCGTTGGAATGATTGTTAAGGGGGTTAATTTAATTCTCTTATTTTCAATGAGATGGCTGCTTGGAAGAGTCACTTACCTATTTGAGATCTTCCTTTTAATCCATGTGACCTGAAATACCCTGTCATGTGAGCCTTCCCCTCAGCCTCTTTGGCCTCTTGCTTTCTTTGCATTTAACATTGCACAAGGTGACTGGTCAGAAGTCCTTGGAAGTAGATTAGCCTGGGATGTAGGCAAACATCCCTTTTAGCTGCCTATGTGGTATATTATCAAGGCCGTTTACATAAACGTTTTCTGTTAATCCCAACATTGAACCGCTGATGTGCTGCATATGGCCTCTGCGGCCTATCCACTTGCAACACCTGGTGCTCAGCCCAAATCCATGGCACCACAGAGGACACTGGGTTACCCCCTTTCCCTCCCCATAGCCACGCCACCGGGATATCCAGAATTCTCTAGGGCACAGGAGTTGGGCACTGAGCCACTTAGCACAGCTTGCTCTGGGACTGGAAAGTTGAGTCTGAGCCCAGCTAGCATGTTTTTTCACCCATTTCACTCCAAACTTGGAGAGGAAGAGGAACATGTTAGACCCCTGGAACACCTGTGTGCATTAGTGGTAAAGAGGTTTGGAGAAGCTTTCTTCGTTAACGATGTTAATTCTCCAGGGACAGGTAGCAGAGGGTGACTATTCCATGCTGATTCCTAAATCTCCCTGCCCCCCAGATCCAGGTGCTGTGCCCCCAAAAGAGAAACCACACTGTCTCCTCTCCCTTCACTCTGCCTTCATCTTCTCCTTGGAGAACGGGCTCAGCAGAAGTGTCAGCAGAAGGCTGAAACCTTCCATGGAACACGTGTGGTGGGGAACCCCATATTTATCACGTTGCTGGGAAACAAAGTAGCCCCCACAGGACCTAGAATAGGCTCCTATTTCTTTCACTGGACTGTGGGATGACAGGATTTCTCCCTCTCTCTCTTTTTTCATGCCAGGATTTTTGTCTGGGTTTATGATGTCATCATTATAATAAATGCCATCTTCATTGCTCAGGAAGGGAGCATTTCCTACTCGGAATGGCTTTTCCTTTCTCTCTATGTTATCGAGATTCTCCTGAAACTGTACACATACGAGCCCAGAGCCTATTTCGGAAGGAAGCAGTTCTGGAACTGGTAAGCCCTTGCGTCCTGAGGGGAGACAGGAATGTGGCCACAGGGGACAAATGAGGACCTCCTGTCACAATCTGGGGAGTTCGCCAAGCTCCAAGTGCCTAGTTTTGAGATATCTCATAATGAGGCCTTGGGTGAGCGAACATCTGGTTCAGTGAAAGCTGTTATTCATGATGTCAGTTTGAACTCATGCCCACTAAAATTAGAATCGCAGATCACCGCATCTTGAACTTGAAAAGTACCTTTGGAAAAAAGGAAAACAAAACTTTTTCTGCACTCTCCTGACAGCAACTGTGTGGGGTTTTCCTTATACCAAGCAATTCCCCAACTCTCTAGAGACACCAACTGGGTGTCCTACTTTTCAATTCAATCCTGACACTATCTGTCCCAAGACCGCCCTCACTTCTGATGTCACTTGCAAATAGTAGGTTGTCACCTTGACTTCTTTCTGACCCACTGGTTATAAATCAGAGGTCCCTATGCCCTCCTCCTTAGGTTTGATAATTTGCTAGAACAGACACAGAACTCAGGAGAACAGTTTACTTATTAGATTTCTGGTTTATTATAAAAGGATCCAATCCAGAAACAGCCAGATGGAAGAGATTTAGGGGTCAAGTGTGGGAAGGGTGTGGAGTTTCCATGCTCTCCCTGGCACGCCACCTCCCAGTGCCTCCGTGTGTTCACCCACCCATCCTTTTGGGTTTTTATGGAGGCTTCATTGTGTATGCACGGTGGATTAAATCACTTGCGATAGGTCTTCTGTCCCTCTCCCCTGACCACTGGGAGTGGGACACAAAGTTCCAACCCTCTAATCAGGTATTGGCTCCAAAGGACACCAGCCTACATTCTTAGGGGATTTCCAAACATAAACTCAGAAAGGCTGAACAAGGTTGTTTTTAATAACAAATGATACTCCTTTCACCTTTACCACTCCTACTACTCAGGAAATTTCAAGGATTTTAGAAGCTTTGTCTAAGAACAGGAGAAGAAGACCAAATACATATTTCTTAGCGCAATCCCTTCTACAGCTCCCTCAGCCCACTCCCTAGTCTCACTGTCAGAAAACTCAGCCTGTGACCTGGATAATGAGGACTTAGCAAGCTGTTCCCTGGCCTGGGGGTATGTCTCCAATGGGCTCCTCTTCTCTAGGGTCTCTACTCCCTGGTCTCAAACCACAGCCCTAATGCTACAAACGTGCCCATGCATCTATTTTTTGATGGTTGCTATAGGGTGCATGCATTCACAAGAGAGGGACAGAGAGGGAAAGTGAGAAATCACTCCCCAAGGGGGAATGAGCATGCACAATCTCTTCTCTATTCTCCTCTCAGAATTTTGGGTACGTATGCACACACACCCCCAGTGTGATTTACACGCTGCCGGGTCTGTGGCTCTAACAGTGGTCAGTCACATGGGAGTCCACACCACCTGCTGGCCCCCAGCCCATGGCGCTTTTTTTTTTTTTTTTGAATGCTTAATGAATATTTATTTTTCATGAAATTAGAGGTCTTCAGGGTCAAGTACAACTGTCAGAAACTCAATTGTAACCGAAAAATACAAAAGAGAACTTGTTAGCCCATGCATCTTGAGTGCTACTGTTCTTCAGGCCTTGTGGGTCACAAAAGGGCAAAGTGCAGGCTGGACTGAGACAGTGCACCGTGTGGCAGGGCTGGATCTGTGACCACTGCCCCAAGTGCCAGGAAACATGATTCCAGGTGCATGTGGCCAGCAGGGAACATTCAAACATGGTGTTTCTTGTTTCATATTTTCTGTCCTAAAAATTTTAGAAGTCAGTTTTATAGCCGGATCATCGTTCTGAGTAACAGATTGGATATGAAATTTTTTCAGCTTCTGTCATATTCTGAGCTCAGCAGGTCTTTCCCTTGATTCTTTTTTTAAATATATTTTTAATTTTATACATTCAACCACTATACATCATTTAGCTTGTAAAGTGAATTGAGCCAATAATTCACACCAGGCCGGTTGAGGATACTATACTCATTATCATTTACAGATAATCATACATTTCTGTGTTCCATAAATGTCTTGCCTCTCTATCTTTCTCCTTGATTTCTTTCCTCGCACTCTCCCCCTTCATCCACCTTCTTCCCACCTTGTCTCTAATATCTATAATCACTTTCCATGCTCCTATATCCTCTAGTCTTCCAGTTTCGGCCATAGAGTGTGGACAGTTGGTATATGTTAAGTGGAGACATACAATGTCTCTCTTTCATAGCCTGGCTTGCTTCACTCAGTAGTAAATCTTCCATATTCATCTACTTTCTATCAAATGCCAGGGTCTTTTTTATAATTATTGAGTAGTAGTCCATAGAATACACACACACACACACACATATATATATATATATATATATATATATATACGCACCACACTTTTTCAATCCATTCATCATCTGTTCGTAGGCATTTGGGTTAGTTCCATGTCTTAGCAATTGTGAATAATGCTGCAATAAACATAGTTGTGCAAGTGCTTTCCTGACTGAGTGTTCTCTTGTCCTTTGGGTAGATACCCAGAAGTGGAATTGTGGGATTATATGGTTGTTCCATTTGTAAATCGTTGAGGAACCTCCATGTTGATTTTCACAGTGGCTGGACCAGTTTACATTCCCACCAACAGTGTAGGAGAGTTCCCCTTTCACCACAGCCCTGCCAACACTTATCATTATTTATTTTATTAATCTTCACCATTCTGACTGGGGTTAGGTGATATCTCATTGTGGTTTTGATCTGCACCTCCTTTATGATGAGAGATATTGTGCATTTTTTTCATATGCATTTTGGCTGTTCATATGTCTTCCTTAGAGATTTTTAACTTTTTTTCCCCCTTTTTTATTGGGTTTTTTTTTTTTTTTTTTTTTTTTTTTTTTTTCAGGTAAGCCACTTGAGTTCCTTGTGCATTCTGGTTATCAGTCCTTTATTTGAGGCATAGTTTACAAAAATACTCTCCCATTCCGAGTGTTATTGACTCACATTAGTTACTGTGTCCTTTGCTGTGCAGAAACATCTTAATCTGATGTAATTCCATTTGTCTAGTTTTTTTAATTCTTGCCTGTGCTTTGGGAGTCTTATTTAAAAAGTCTTTGCTTACTCCAGTGTCTCCCCGAGTTTCCCCAGTGTTTTCCACCAGCAGTTTTATAGTTTGAAGTCTTCAGTTTAGATCTTTGATCCAGTTTGAGTTGATTTTTGTTAATGGTGAGAAATAGGCATCCAGAGTCATCTTTCTGCAGGTGGATACCCAGTTTTTCAGCACCATTTGCTAAAGAGGTTTTCCTTTTCCCACTGGATTGACTGGTACACTTTGTCAAAAATCAGTTAGCTGTATGTTTTGGGGTTTATTTCTGGGGTCTCTATTTGTTGCATTTATCCACGTTTCCTTTTGTGCCAATACCACACTGTTTTGAGTATCACAGCTTTGGAATATATTTCGGTGTCAGAGAGTGAGATGCCTCTTACTCCACTCTTGTGCAGGATTGCTTTGGCAATATGAAGTCTTTTATGATTCCAGACAAATTCTATGATTGTTTTTTCTAAATCTGTGAAGAATGTCTCTGGTAATTTGATTGCATTAAATGTGTATATTAATTTGGGTAGAATTGTCATTTTGATTATATTGATTCTTATAATCTAGGTATGTAGGATGTCCTTCCACTTGTTTTTGTTTTGGGGTTTATTTCTGGGGTCTCTATTTGTTGCATTTATCCACGTTTCCTTTTGTGCCAATACCACACTGTTTTGAGTATCACAGCTTTGGAATATATTTCGGTGTCAGAGAGTGAGATGCCTCTTACTCCACTCTTGTGCAGGATTGCTTTGGCAATATGAAGTCTTTTATGATTCCAGACAAATTCTATGATTGTTTTTTCTAAATCTGTGAAGAATGTCTCTGGTAATTTGATTGCATTAAATGTGTATATTAATTTGGGTAGAATTGTCATTTTGATTATATTGATTCTTATAATCTAGGTATGTAGGATGTCCTTCCACTTGTTTTGTATCATTTTCAATTTCTTATATATATATATATTTTTTTTTTTTCAGTTTTCCTTGTAGAGGTCTTTGACTTCTTTGGTTAGATTTATTCCTAAGTACTTTATACTGTTTGTGGCCAGGATAAATGAGATTACTTTCTTCACTTCTACCTCAGTCTGCTTGTTGTTCATATATAGGAATGCTATAGATTTTTTATATGTTGATTTTGTATCCTGCTACTTTTCTGTATTCATATATTACTTCCAGTTTTTTCGTGGATACCCTTGGGTCTTCTATGTATACAATAACGTCATTTGCAAATAGAGATAATTTCACTTCTTCTTTCTCTATTTGAATGCCTTTTATTTTATTCTCTTTTCTGATTGCATTGGCTAGGACTTCCAGCACTATATTGAAAAGGAGTGGAGAAAGTGGGGAGCCTGTCTTGTACCAGTTTTTAGTGGAAAAGCTTTCAGCTTTTCCCTATTCAGTATGATGTTAGCTATGGGTTTTTCATAGATAGCTTTTATTATATTGAGACATTACCCTTCTATGCCAATTTTGCTGAGAGTCTTAATCATGAAGAGTTGATATATTTTATTAAATACTTTTTCTGCATTGATTGATCTGATCATATGGTTTTAATCTTTCTTTCTGTTAATATGGTGTATTATGTTTATGGTTTTGCATATGTTGAACCAACCTTGCATTCCTGGAATAAAGCCCAACTGGTCATGATGTATAATCTTTTTTATATGTTGTTGGTTATGATTTGCTAGTATCTTGTTGAGAATTTTTGTATCTATATTCATCAGAGATATTGGTCTGTAGTTTTCCTTCTTTTTCATGTCCTTGTCTGTTTTGGGGATGAGGGTGATGGAGACTTCATAAAACGAATTTAGGAGGGTTCCTTCCTTTTGGATGTTTAAAAATAACTTTAGTAGAATGGAGGTTAACTCTTCTTTAAAAGTTTTTTGTAGAGTTCAGAAGTGAAGCCATCGGGACCAGGGATTTTCTTTGTTGGAAGGTTATCTATTACTGATTCAAGTTCATTGCTTGTTTCCTTGATTTTTAACTGATGTTGCTTTTGCTTTTTTATACTGTTAGGTTTGACACACTGATCATCCTTGCAGCCCTGGTGGCCACTGTGGCCAATGCCACCATTCAGTCAGGTTAGTGTCCCCAGCTCTCAGCTTCACCACCTCCTGGAATAATGTGTTCAATTTGTAGTCTTTGTTGAACATTCACCATGCACGAGCACCACTCAGATGTTTGGGGTGATGGGATGGGGATACAGGAGAATGATGAAAATGTCCCATGTTCTTGAGAGTGTCAACTTAAGAAAAGAAAGCTGAGGCAAATGTAAATAAAGCAAAGGAGAATTTATTTGGGGCAAAAATGTGGAAAATTGCCCAGACACAAATCTCTAAGTTACTGTCAATGTTGTGTGCCAAAGTCTTATGGAATGTAGGGTAGTTTTAAAGGCAAAAAATCACAAGTGGAGAGGGGGATTAATCAGAAGTCTTATATTGGTCAAAAGCTGTACCACTGAGTCTTCCAGAGCAGATAGGCTAAATTGCATCATAAGGGAAAAGGGATGTTTTCATGGTCCTTCTGGGGTCGGCATTGGAGTTAATATCGTACAGTAGCGTAAAGGGGAAAAGCAGTGGGGTTTAATGCTCAGATAATGATGAGCAAACAATTCTCTTTGGAAGCAGGATGGGCTTGGAAGACAGACAATGGTCGGTGCTAAACTCTGTCCAGGTGTGTTGACATCCTTTGATTTTAAACCTCAGGGAGGAAGCTGAAGACAGTTCTCTTCTTTGCTATTTTTAGTCTAGAGGCTGATAAAGGGATATTGGAATGAATCCTTTACTGTGTTTTGGGAGATTAACGGAACTCAAAGCCCAGTGCACATTTCAAGATCCATCACCTACTGTATGATTATGCTACCTCCTGGCCCTATTTTACAACAGAAAGAATGGGCTCTTAATTTGTTATTTTATAAGAGGAAAAAGGCTTTGTTTGAGCTTCCCTGCATTTTAGAGATCTCATTTGTATGTGTCCATCACATCAAATACTTACCTGGTCATCTCTCCTAAACTGGTTCCTCGGGGCTGACCATCACCCATTGGCCGCTCTGTACAGCTTGGTCCAGCCATGGCAGGATGTCAACCTCATCCTTGCTCACCACTCTCTTCTTTCTGCCCTCCCCTGGCCCTACCCATACATACCCCCCACCCCGTGCACACTCCTGTAGATGGCAGGCAGGATTATGTAAGATAGTGAAGCTTATTAGCTCTATAGAATACATTCTTGGGGAAGAGAGCTCGTTGAAGTGTGTCTTTCTATACAAATGATCCACAGTTGCTACTCAATGGTTTGGTCATTTCTGAAATCTGCACCTGTCCTCAGGGTTCCTCAGCTCTGGGGCTGGGGTGGAGGGTGGGCTAGGCAGCCATGCTGGCCTGGCTTCCACTTGTAGGGTAGCTCTGACACAAGGCCGTGCTCACTTCCCCATTGTTCAGGGCTGTCATTCTGTTCCTCAAGCAAAGCTGCATTTCCCCCAGGACCCACAGGGCCTCAGACCTCATTGAATAAGGGAGAGAAGCCAGAGGTGCTGAGAAAATGGAATGCTAAGTGATTGTTTTCTTTTTCCAGCAAAAACATACAACAGTCAGCAGATACTAGATATCGTCCTAATACTGAGGATACTCCGGCTCTTAAGGATCATCATTAGCATTCAGAGGTAAAGATAAGGTGACATGAAATGCCTGCATTAAGGGTTCCCCACATGGTGCCCTGATGAAAAGCACTCCTTCTCCAGAATGATAAACACACTCACCATGATCCCAGCAGGTAACATGTGGAGGGCCCCCGGTTCTTTGGAGCTAGCAGGGTGGGGGGCAGCCAGGGAAGATGGGGAAGAGCCCACAGACAGCAGTTCCCTGAGGGCAGGGATTCTACCAGGCACTTGCGTCCCTGTGACCCCACAATGAATTGAGCTGCTTGTACCATAAGAGGAGTCATGCTGGCAGCTAATCTAACTCAGGTGTGCATCATACATGGACTTTTATTATTCCTAGTTTACAAGTTGATGACACTGATGCTCCGGGAGGTTAAGAAACTCCCTCCTCTACCAGCAGGTGACATAGTGGTTAAGGTGTTGGATTCCTTGGAACCAGCAGGTGGCATACATCGCTGGAGTCCCACGTAGTGGATAACAGTTTGAGTCCCAGACCTGGGGGCTTAAAATTCACGCTGAGTGCACATGTGTGTGTGCATGCACATGAGCTCAAAATCCTGAGAGGAGAATGGAAAAGGGATTGCCGCATGGCCATCCCCTCTGAGGGTTAATTTCTCACGTTCTTTCTCTCCAGTGAGTGCACGAGCTCTATAGCAAAAATCTCTCCAAAAATGAAGGTGCTGGATTCCCACATGCCATATTCCACAGTTTGAGTTCCAGACTCAGGCATGTGTGCACACATGCCTAAAATCCTGAGAGAAGAATGGAGAAGGGTTTGCAGCGTAGCCATCTCCCCTGGGGTGTGATTTCTCACTTTCCCTCTCTCTGTCTCTCTCCAGTGAGTGCACACACCCTATGGCAAAAACAAAACAAAACAAAACAAAACAGACAAAAAACCCAACTCCCTCAAGAGTGCACAGCTGGATAGAGTCAGACCGAGATGTAAACCTAAGAGTCCGAGCCCAAAGCCGAGATAAACCGCACCCTGGGTTTTTGATAGGCCAGGTTTCTTTCAAGGCCTTCTGAGAACTGGTCTGCTGCCCCAGAAAATACTCAGTTGTCTACATATACCTTTAGGACAGCCTTGAAACAGGCTCAGTTGTGATGGAGAAAAACATGGGAGAGAAAAGGAAATGAAGTTAAGTAGTTTCCCAGCCTCAACACCCACCTCTGTCTTATTAGTCAAGTTCTCTGCTTTTGTTTTTAATTGCCTGAGTGCTCTCTAGAGAGGAGAAGGCACCCCGTGACAGGCTGTGGTCATGCTAACAATCGTCCCTCCATTTTCCCATCCTGTTTGGATCTGGGGCACGTACTCTCTTTTGTCCAGTGTATTTTTCAAGCTGCTGAAGCTGGCATTTGAACCACAGTTAGCCATATGGGATCCAGCACCCTTAACTACTAGGCTGTGGGTCTTACCCATGAAATTCTCTGTAATTACCTTTTTTATCCTTGTGAAGCCTGACTTGCTTTGCTTCAGGGGAAGCTACTATTTAACACCCCCTCAACTGGACAAATGGATTAATTTGGACACCGTCGTAAAGGCAAATTCCTGATGCATTTAAAGAATGGATACAGGACCGTATGGGGGTTATTATATGAGAGGTGCTAATTAGCTGTCAGTCTTACTGACCATCTCTTTTGCCTTGTGTTGAAAATGTGTTTTGTCCTAGATTCCGGGTTATTGTGACCACTTTAATTAACATTGGCCCCACGATGCTGACGTTTGGTGGACTTGTCTTTGTAAGTGCCTCCTCTCATTGCTGTTCTATGTGAAATAAATGGTAAGATATTTATTCTCTTTTTTAAAAAAGAATTATTTAATTTATTATTATTATTATTTTCTTAATTTACCAGAGAAAGACACACACACACACACACACACACAGGAGGGGGAAGGGAGAGAGAAAGAGAGAGAGAAAGGGAAAGTGAGAAGGTAAGCTGCCAGGTCCGAGACTCGAACTGCTGACGGCCATGTGGGAGTCCAGTGCCTTAACCACCACCTCCTGGCCCAAGATGTGCATTCTTAACAACTCTCAGTGAGCCTTAAGTTAAGGGAGAGAAAGAAAGAAAGCAGAATTAAATAAATAAGGTTTATTGGTTTCTAGTAGCCATTCCTATAAAATATCAAGTTTCTAGAAACAGGGCATACCCAAGTTAAGTGACGCCAGCTGTGGCAATAAACACCAGCCATCAGGCTAACCCAAGCATAGTTTCTTTATCACCCACAGTGCAGGTGTGTGTTTCTAGCTAGCATGTGGCTCTCCAGGATGCAAGCTCTTTCCAGGTTGAGGCTCTGTCCCAGGCCTCAGATCATTGTTCACCCTGCTTGTAGAGAAAGCCCTGTGCTCCCCATATTCCCAGGGGTGAGAACAAGGTCACACGGGGGTTGAAGTCTTCTGCTTAGGGGTGGTTCCACATTGTGAATAAGGTGGCCAGAATATAAGTACACTGTAACAGGGTACTTACTTTTCTTTTTATTACTCAGTTAGTACAGAAGAATGTAAGGTTGAATGTAAGTGATTCACCTCATCCTCCGCGTGCCTTTTCTTTGAGGTAATGCTTATTGAGAGGTTCTTGCACTCACAAGAATATTCTTAAACATTTCTATGCAAGCAACAAGCATATCATATACAGGCCTGTACTGGACAGTCAAAGGGGATAATGCATGCAGAATGCGATTGCACGACTTGATTCTAGGTAGTATCTTCATGTTCTGGGAGGAGGTACATGTGTCCGGGTAAGCTCTGCTGTGATGAAAAGGGTTCTACCGAGAGAAGACCCAGAACACACCTGACCAGCTTCTTTACTGACAGACCTTGGCTTTTTTGCCATGACAAAGGTGTGGTAAAGACCATTCTTGGGCATGAACACTCGTGTGCTGATGTGAGTGTTTCTCCTGGAAACATTTCTACAAATGGAACAGTAAGAGGAGTTTGGGTTTGAGACCAGCCGATGGCCTAATGGTTACGTCGCTGGACTCTCATGTAGTCAACCATAGTTTGAATCCCAAACCCAGCAACTTTAACTCCCCCTGGGCACGTGTGCATGCGTGCCCAAAATCCCAAGAGGAAAATGGAGGAGAAGGGATTGCAGTGTGGCCATAAAACCCTGGGGGATGATTTCTTGCTTTCTGTCTCTCTCTCTCTCTCTCCCTCTCCCTCTCTCTCTCTTTCTCTCTCTGTCTCTCTCTGGTGAGTGCACACGCCCTATAGCAAAAATCTCTCTTAAAAAAGAAAAAAAGCAAATGGGTTCAAAATCTGGATTGCCAGTGGTCGGAGATATGCTCCCATCTGTGTGTATCCCAAATGGCAGTGTGTGACATCTTTTCTCCCTGTCTCCCTCACGATGGGGGCTTAGTTCACATAGAACAAACTGGAGTTTGCTACGTTTTTACTTGTCCCAGGCTGAGTAGGCGAGGATGCAGCATTGCAGTTAACACGCATTTGTTCAGTTACTCATGAGACAGAGCATCTTTCCCATATTCTTTGGGAAATCGGCCCTTATGCTTATTTCTCAGCAAATAACCTATTCACATCCTTGGTCCATTCTTCTGTCAGTCTTATTTATTTATTTATTTTGGAGAGGTTTTCGCTATAGGGCGTGTGCACTCGCCAGAAAGACAGAGGGAGACAGAGAGACAGAAAGCGAGAAATCACCCCCCAGGGGAATGGCCATGCCGCAATCCCTTCTCCTCCATTCTCCTCTCGGGATCTTGGGCACACATGCACACATGCCTGGCATGAGTTTAAGCTACCAGATCCGGGACTCGAACCGCAGTCAACTACATGGGAGTTCAGTGACATAGCCATTATGCTAACTGCTGGTCCCTGTCAGTTTTATTTTTGATATGATTTGTAGGAGTCTTTGGCCTATGGTGGAAATAGGCCCTTAGTAGGCAGTATATGGGGCAATTATTTTTCCTTAGCAGTCATTTATGTTAGACATAAAAACTGTTTTTTTTTTCCCTTCTTTTTTTTTTGGAGAGGTTTTTTCGCTATAGGGCGCATGTGCTCGCCAGACAGACAGAGAGAGACATAGAGACAGAAATTGAGAAATCACCCCCCAGGGTGGATGGCCACGCCGCAATCCCTTCTCCTCCATTCTCCTCTCGGGATCTTGGGCACGCACGCACACGCACCCGGCGTGAGTTTAAGCCACCGGGTCCGGGATGTGAACCGCAGTCGACTATGTGGGAGTCCAGCGACATAGCCATTATGCTAACTGCTGGTCCCAAGACTTTTAAAAAGCAATTGCCAGAGGGCATGAGTGCTCACCAGAGGGAGACAGAGAAAGAAGGAGAGAGAGAAAGCACCCTGTAATGGGCATGGTCATGAAGCAGTCCCTTCTCCTCTATGCCTCCATCCCATCAAGATTTAGGGTGCACACACACACACACACACACACACACACACAGTGTGTTTTTGAAGCTTCCAGGGACAGGATTTGAACCATGGTCAATCATGTGGGATCCAGCTTCCTTAACCACTAGGCCATTGGGCCGACCTGCGACTTTTGTCTTTTTTTATTTTTGGTCATATAAAAGTTTAAATTTACTATATAGTCATAGTTGCCAATCTTTCTTATAATTTTTAAAATTATTTATTTATTTATTTAATTTGACTAGAGCAGGACACAGAGAGAGAGAGAGAGAAAGTGAGAAAGCAAACCACCAGGTCTGGGACTCAAACTGTGGTTGGCCATATGGGAGTGTCCAGCACATTAACCACCACACCACCTTCTGGTCCCCTTGTCAATCTTTTTAAAAATAATTTTTAAGTTTTAGGTCATTTTTAGTAAGAACTTCTTCTCCTAAATTTTTTCCACTACTGTCTTCATAGTTACACATATATTTTTAGAGAGATTTTTGCTGTAGGGCATGTGCTCTTGCCAGAGAGATAGAGTAAGACAGACAGACAGAAAGCAAGAAATTACCCCCCCCCCCAGGGGCCCTAGCCATGCTGCAATCACTTCTTCTCTATTCTCCTCTCAGGATTTTGGGCACAAACACACACACACACATGTGCCTGGCATGAGTTTTAAGCTGCCATTATACCACCTGCTGGTCCCATAGTTTTATTTTTTAAACTTAACCCTTTGGCTCCTTTAAATTTTATTTTGGTATAAAGAACAATGTGAAGATCCCGTTTTATGAGGCCAGCCAGTTGCATGGTGCTTCAGGCAGCTGGATTGCATATGGCTGGTTGCACAGTTCAAGCCCCAGACCTAGCAACTTGGAAAACATGCGGGGCTCTGTGCATGCTTGCCCAAAACCCCAAGAGGAAAATGGAGGAAAAGGGATTGTGGTGTGGCCATGCATGGGGGAGGGGGAACTTTCCCTATCTCTGTCCTTCTCTAGCAAGCTCACACCCCCAAGATCCCATTTTACCATATTTTAAAGAAGATAAAGTCTTATTTCCTGACTATGTAACTCACCAACTTGTGAATGAAGCTCAGGAGGAAGCTGAGATGTGGCAGGCCAGTGTCTGCATTCACCCTGGTTCTTCTGCACTGCCCTTGGCCCTGCAGTTCTGCAGCTTTGGGCGCCCTCTGATGACCTGGGCCTTGCCTCCTAGGTGGTCTACTACGTCTTTGCTATCATTGGGATGGAACTGTTCCACGGCAAAGTCCAGTTCTTTGATCCGGACTCCACCGCTCCCGAAGCGCTGGTGTGTGGGAACCCAGCCTTGCGGGACTCGGCGTTCGCCCGAGACAGGTACTGCAAGAACAACTTCAACGACCTCGCGGCCGCCTTCGTGGTGCTCATGGAGCTCACGGTGGTTAACCAGTGGCACAATATCCTTTCTGGGGAGGCGGGGGAGTCACAGGGAGAAGGGACACGCTCGGGTGTGGTGGAGGTGCTGAAAGTAACCTCCAGGGAGTGGGCGGGGGCCGGGGAGGATTCCGTCCTAGCACCTCCCGGCCCGGGGCACCTGACAATGTCCCAAAGGTCTGCTTCCTCAGCTTCCCACTCCTTGCTGGTGGCTTTGCCCTCGTGACTCACCAGGCGGCCAAGCTGTACTTCATCTTGTTCCACGTCGTGGTCGTCATCCTCATTGTTAAGTGAGTGTGCTCCTGCCACTGGGACATTTTGGATCTCCTTTTCGAAACGTCTGACTGCTGTCACCGCCCTTCTCCCTTGTCCACCCACGTGTAGGTTAGGTAGGTCTTGTCTGCCCTAGGAGATACGAGCCACAGGATGAAAGGGGTGATCTGTCTGTCCATCCTTCCCCGTGTGTGGGGTGGGGAGAGAGAACGAAACAATCTCTACTCGGGAATATCAGCAAACCTGAGAGGAGAGTCAGGTCTTTCTTTTTCTAGCTCGACCATCCACAGGGAGGGGGACCTTTAAGCCGTCACCCTGGAAAACCTCCTTGGACTAACCTTCCTGAGTTGGCTCTCAGCGCCTTTGTTCAGAGGACCCAGGCTATGCCTGCACCTGGGTATTCATGGAGAGTTACCACCTGACAGTGATCTGGCCTAAGCTTAAACTTCTCCTTAAACTTAAGTGTATTTTCTTCTTAGTAGTCACTGTTTCAACAGGATGTAGAGGAAAGATAATTTTGCAAATGAATGAAAGTCGTGTCCCATGCTGTCATTTCCCCTTCCTGGTTGTACTTTCTGGGAGACAACAGGCTGCCTCTTCATCTGGGCTCAGACGCTCTTTGGAGCCAGGAGTCCTCGTCACCGGGGCCACGCCAGCTCAGTCTAACACCTTGCGCCACTTACACTCTCCCAGTATCTTCATAGCGTTCATCTTGGAGGCTTTCTTTGTGGCATATTCATTAGAAAAAAGTGAAGTAGAAACTGCCATTGAGAAGAAGATTCAAGAGCTCGGAGTAGGAGTCCAAGAGTGAGTAGCCCGGTCCCCTGCATGACCCTCAGACCCAGACCTGGGCCGCACACACAAGATCCCTACTGCATTCAGTTTCCCGCACCCTGTGGCGCACAGCCTGGTCCTGTGTGCCCGTTATCAGGGGCCTCTCTAGACAAGTGGCTGGGCAGTGACCACTGGGACATCTCGGGGAGGCCACTTGAGGGACTCACCCAAGGGGCCTGACCACATTCGTGTTGTCTCTTTGACTCTTTGAACGTGTCAGTCTTTGATAAGAGGCAGAGAAAGACTCTTTCAAAGAAAAATGATGTTTATTCAGGAACAGGCAATGCCGAGCGTTCCCACTCACCAGCTGGGTTCCCACACACCAGCGCTTCGGGAGCGGTGGAATCCAGGTCAAAGAACTGGACTTTGCCGTGGAACAATTCCATTCCAATGATAGCAAAGGCGTAGTAGACCACCTAGGAGGCAAGGCCCAGGTCATCAGAGGGCGCCCAAAGCTGCAGAACTGCAGGGCCAAGGGCCGTGCGAAGAACTGGGGTGAATGCAGTGTATTACGCTTACCATAATACACTATAACCAGATCAGCGAGTTAAGAGGAGACAGGGTTTTGAAAAGAAAAATGAGGGAGGATTACATCAATTGTTTTGGGACAATTATCTTTGGCTGCCAGGATCAATGATAAGGGTGGCACCAGCCGTAGGTTGGACAGCCAGCTCTGGGCAGATGTCTTTGCAGAAGTACTTTCCGTGTCAGGTTGCCATGGTCTCTGTGCAAGGCTGTGGTTCTGGCAGAGTCCCAGTGAGGGCTCTGGTTATCAGGCATGCTTGCATGAGACCCGCTTTCCCCATGGCCTTCCCCAGCTTGGTGTAGTCAGGGTTTAACACAACTGGACACAAACGACTTTTATTTTGACTCTGACAACTTTCGCAAAGGGAAGAAGTGCAAGACGGGAAGCTCAATGATAACATGGATGCCAAGGCCGGTGGCTTCAGCGGACACGATGAAGACAACAAACGGAAGACCTTGAAAGGCCTGTACTTCAGAATTGCATCAAAAAGTAAGTTTCAGCCCAAAGCAAAACTAGAACGGATCTTCCTCCAATCCATTCCTCTCAGGCAACCAGTGACATGTTCCCAGAAGGTAGAGCTGGCTTTCAGTGGCTTCCCATTGCTCCAGGTCCCTCCCCATGGCCCGCGCTTCCTGTTGTCTGATTTCTCTCAGACTCACAGACTCTCCTCCTTCCTGCCACGCTTGCCACTCTCATCCCACTGGCCTTGCTACTCCTCGGCTCCCTGCTCCATCCTGCCACAGGGCCTTTGCAGGTGCTGCTTTCTCCCTCTTTCTTACCTCCTCATTTTGGGGCGTTAAGGCCCTCATTCTTTGGGTCTCTGATCAGGCAGCCCCTCCTCAGGGAAGACCCCTGAACTTCCCAGGAAGGTCCAGTGCTCTCGTGTGACTTCCAGCAATGACTCTCCTCCTCTCAGCCCATGTCAGCAGCACACTCACCAGTAAGGGACCGTTTGGTCACTACCTGCCTTGCAGACAAGCTCCCTGTGTGCAGGGCTGTCATGCCATGTCCCATGCCTGGGACACAGGGGGCTTTGCCAATGATTTCTTCAATTACTTCATTAATTCTCTACGAATTAGCAATGGCCAAGTGATCCCGAGCCAGTGTGACTCTCAGTACAGGGTCTGACTGAAGCACTCTACGATGAGCTCAGTTGAGGGCCGCAGCAGACTGCAGGGGTGTGGGCTGAGCCTGCAGCCCCTGAGAGGTGCCAGCCCCCTCGTCCTTCAGCAAGGACAGGCTCCTCGGTCCTTCCCTGAGAAGGACTTTCAATGGCTGAGGAACCCTGTGGAGGGTCAGCACCAGGGTGAAGGAACGATTCTCTCCTCACTTTCGCATCTTTCTTTTCAAAGCATGTTTAGCGACCGTGCCCAGAGCCTTGTCTTCAGCTCAGGGGCCGTTTGTCAGGGGTGGCCCAGGCCGAGGCTTCCCCAAACCCAACAATGTGCAGCTGTTATGTGGTTCATTCTTTGTTTTAAATTTGCTATAGGGCATTTGCATTCTCCAGAGAGAGACAGAGGGGGAGAGAGGGAAAGTGAGAAATCACCCCCAGACTGGATGGCAACACTGCCATCCCTTCTCCTCTATCCTCCTCTTGGAATTTTGAGCACACATGGACACATGTGTGGCATGTTTTTCAAGCTGCTGGTTCTGGGACTCAAACTGTGCAATCAGCCATGTGGGATCCAGTTGCCTTGACCACCATGCCACCTAGGTAGCCCTCTTTTTGTTCTTTTATAAAGTTTTACATTTCTTCCATGAGAGGGACCAGCAGGTGGCAATAATGTCTATGTCACTGGACTCCCATGTAGTTGACTGCAGTTAGAGTCCCGGACCCACTGGCTTATACTCATGCCAGACACGTGTGTGTGCGTGCCCAAGATCCTGAGAGGAGAATGGAGGAGAAGGGATTGAGGTGTGGCCATCCCCCCTGGGGGGTGATTTCTCACCTTCCGTCTCAATGTCTCGCTCTGTCTTTCTTGCGAGCGTATGCGCCCTATAGCAAAAACCTCTCAAAAAACAAAACAAAACAAACAAATAAACAAAATTTCTTCCATGAGAAAAAGGGAGAGAGAGAAAAGAGGAAAGAGAAAGAGGGAGAGAGACATACCCCAACACGGTCTTGATGCCACGATCTGTCCCCAGCTTCACCAGCCCTGGATCATAGGCACACACATGCCTGGCATGTTCAGGGCGGTCTCTGGGCACAAGCCTGGAACCTTCCCACGTGGGTCATCCTCTCAGAGGGCCATGTTCTACCATGCCACCATCGGCCTCCCCACATGCCTCTTTCTTCTTCCTTCTAGAGTACAAGACCGTGGACACCTTGCTGCAGCTAATGTTCGAGTCTGAAATCGCTCCAGAGGATGAAGGCCCTTCCTTGGATGAGATTCTCAACTTCTCCCCCAGTGACATATATCCCAAGAATCCCAATTTTGAAAACAGTGCGTGATCCTGGACTTGCAAGGACCCACAACTGGAAATTATGATAAGCTGTCCCCACATTTTGCTATCTGGAGATGCTTTTTCCGGCCCAGGCCCTTTCTGTGTTCTGATAAGCCTGTGACTCAGCCTCGCCTGTCCCGCGTGCTCTGTGGGATGGCACAGAAGGGCTGCCTTGGTGTGCCCCGCCTGGGGTCGTTCTTGGGTCTGGTTGTGCAAAGGAGAGAAATATTGATGACGAGGTCATGAGGGGTACTTGCCATACACATGTATGTGCGGGTGTGAAGTCTTCAGTGGGTACAAAACAGCAGTTCATTTATTTTGATGCAGTACTTTGCTGTTCTGTTGACCTATGCTACACGGTTACGAATGAATTATAAATATTTAAATATGGTAAAAGAGCATAATCTAGTACAGCAGCTATTAAACGCAGTGCTTATTCAAATGAAGAAAATGTGATTGTGAGAATATAATTGTTGCAATTGCTTCTTTTTGTGAGGGGGTATACTCTCCTTAAAGCGTCTTTAATTGAGGCATCTACTTGACAGACATGGAGCAGGGGCTACTGCTAAGGTTTTCACTACCTTACAGTTGCTAATGCAAGAAAAAGGCGTCTCTGCACTTTTTTTTTTCTTTCTTTTCTTTTTTTTTTTTTTTTTAGAAGTTTTTGCCATAAGGCTCTTGCGCTAGTTGGAAGGCAAGAGAGACAGTGAGAGGGAAAGTGAGAAATTGCCCCCCAGGAGGATGGCCATAACACAGTCCCTTCATTCTCCTCCTGGGATGTTGGGTACTCATGGACACATGCGTGGCATGGTGTGTGGCGTGATTTTAAAGCATCCAGGTCCGGGATTCGAACCACAGTCGGCCAGAAGGGAGTCTGGCGATGTAACCACTACACTATCTGCTGGCCCCGGCCCTCTGCACTGTCTGCTTGTGGGAGCCGAGATAGAGGAATACAGGCAACATATGGAGAGAATTCTGCAACTAGAATAACCTTGTAAGTAGTTTGCTCCATTAAAGAACCTAAATTTTGAGGGGCTAAAAAGCTTTAGTTGAATTATAATTTTAGTAAGATTTTGAGTAAGTTGCCTTCTGAGGCCGTTTTCCCCAGCCGGAAATCTCCCAAGGCAGCTTCTTCTGGGAACTTAAAAGAGATTTGTTTTATTCTTTTGTTTATTTATATATTTATTTTTTGAGAGTTTTTGTTTGTTTGTTTGTTTGTTTTTGCTATAAGGCATGTGGGCTGACTGGAGAGACGGAGAGAGACAGAGAGATAGAAAGCAAGAAATCACCCTTTGGGGGAGGATGGCCACTCTGCAATCCCTTTCCCATTCTCCTCTAGCACATGCGCCCAGTTTTTCATCCAAAATACATTGTCTGTTGGCTCAATCAAGTACATCAACTTATGTGTTATCAAGAAACAATTTTCCATTTCTTTTTTTTTTTCCATCCATAATACACTGTATATTGTCTCAATCATCAAGTACATCAACATATGTGTTATCAACAAACAATTTTTCCATTTCTTTTTTTTTTTCCATCCAGAGTACACTGTATATTGTCTCTATCAAGCATATCAACAAACATGTTATTATTAGCAAGTGATCTTCCATTTCTTGTTTTCTGTATGTTTTGCTTTTTTCCCCCTATCCTTGGTTCCCTCTCTCTTACCCTCTGCCACCTCCTGTTCTCCTCCCACACTTTCTCTGTTATCTATGTTTGCTTTCTATACCATTTTCCCCCCACATTTTATTGAATCACCAAAGGCCCTCATCAATCCAAATACCCTCCTAGCAAACACATGTGACACATTTCCATGAGCACAAGTCTAACTTTACGCATCCTATCAAGTAGCACCTAACTGGGGCTACATATCCTACTGCAGTCATTGAATAGATATATTTTGTTTTCCTGAAACTCTTTTTTGTAACTCAATTTACATTCCTTCTCTAGGCATCATCACAGCACACAAAATGCGATCTCCCATCCAGTACACACTGCATAGTGACTCAATCATGCACATTACAAAAAATATAAATTTCCACTTCTAGTTGCTAGAATTAATTCCACCCCTCTTTCTGACCCTCTGTCCCTTCCCACCCTCCTCTCACACCACCTCTAGTGTCCAAAATTGTCCTCCATTCCCTTCCCACCCACATTGCATTGATCACACAATTTCCTACATAACCTGACTACTTTCAAAGGTGAGTTCCCTCGTTACTACTAAGAAAACCAGTTTTAACTTAAATCAAAGAACCGCCAAGGAACTTTGCTTAAAGCCCGGAAACAGGTTAGGATTCTGTTCAAATGGTAGGTGCATGAACCTATCAGTCTCATATACTTTTATCTTCTGTTCTGGTTCAATTTTCCTGATTAAATTCTGGGATATAGTATTCAACTCCAGACTTGTCCCTATGATTAAGTTAGCTACTTTCTCAGTTTTTGGACTCTTATTTCCATGTATCTGCGTTTAGTTTTCCTGATACAGCACATCCTTGAGAACTTCTTGGAGGTCTGGTCTGGTGCTGGTAAATTCTTTCAGGTTTTGTTTATCTGAGAATGTTCTTGTCTTTTCTTCCCACCTGAAAGATAATCTTGCCGGATACAGTATTCTTGGCTGAAACTGCTTCTCTCTTAACACTTGGAATATATTTTCCCATTCTCTCCTCGCTTTTATTGTTTCTGATGAGAGATCTGCTGTTAGCCTGATGGGATGTCCTTTGTAGGTAACTTGATGTTTTTCTCTTGCTAATCTTAGTATCTTGTCTTTGTCTGCAGTTTTGGTCAACCTGGCTATAATGTGTCTTGGAGAAGATCTTCTAGGGTTGATTCTATTTGGGGTCCGTTGTATTTCCTGGGACTGGATCTTTGAATGCCTCTCTAGGTTTGGAAAGTTTTCTTGCAGGATTTCCTGGAATAGATTATCAATGCCCTTATGGGTTTCCTCACCTTCTGGAATGCCAATTATCCGGATATTTGGACGTTTGATGGTATCCAGTACTTCTCGCATATTATTCTCAAATTTTTGTGCCATTTTCTCAGCCTTCATGGTGGATTTTTCTAGGCCAGCCATTTTCTCCTCTACATCTGAGATTCTATTTTCTGAATGATCTAGTCTGCTTTTAATGCTTTCCAGGGAGATTTTGACTTCTTGTATTATAGACTTCATCTCTAGCAGTTCGGTTTGAGTCTTTTGTAAAGTGTGTAATTCCACTTTTAGATCTTGCAGGAATTTCCTCATCTCTTGGAACTCGTCAATCTCTTTCTCCTTTCTCTTTAGTAGTTCATTATCTCTCTTCTCTTCCATCTCTGTTAGCTTAGACATTATGAATGATCTGAATTCCTGCAGGGAGAGACAGGAACTGAGAGACCGAGAGAGAAGGCTGGGGGCGCAGAGGGGGGCTCCCTACCGCTAGCTCTTTTGTTGGAGGCTGAATTATTAGTAGAAAGTCTTCATTCCCTTAAAAATCTAGTTCACAGTAGCCATGTGGAACCTTATCCTGAAGGCCCGTGGCTTCTTCTGCCGCTAGCTCTTTTGTTGGAGGCTGAATTATTAGTAGAAAGTCTTCATTCCCTTAAAAATCTAGTTCACAGTAGCCATGTGGAACCTTATCCTGAAGGCCCGTGGCTTCTTCTGCCCCCAGCTCTTTTGTTGGAGGCTGAATTATTAGTAGAAAGTCTTCATTCCCTTAAAAATCTAGTTCACAGTAGCCATGTGGAACCTTATCCTGAAGGCCCGTGGCTTCTTCTGCCGCTAGCTCTTTTGTTGGAGGCTGAATTATTAGTAGAAAGTCTTCATTCCCTTAAAAATCTAGTTCACAGTAGCCATGTGGAACCTTATCCTGAAGGCCCGTGGCTTCTTCTCCGCCCAGTGTGTTTTAAGCTGCCGGGTCCGGGACTCAAACCATGGTCGACTATGTGGGAGTCTAGCAATGTAACCGCTACATCATCTGCTGGTCCCTTATTTTAAATTATGGTAAAATACACATGACATGAAATTTACCATCGCGGTCTGGCCTGTGGTGCAATGGTTAAGGGAGCCGATCACATGTAGCTGACCACAGTTTGAGTCCTGGCCCTGGCAGCTTAAAATACACAGAGGCCATATGTGTGTGCCCCAAATCCTGACAGATGAAGGAATGGAGGAAAAAGGATTGTGGTGTGACTACACCCTATTGGGGTGTACTCGCTCTCTCTGTCTCCATGAGCACACACAGCCTCTGATAATGAAAGAAAAATGTTTTCTGTTTTTCCTATAGGGTGTGTGTACTCTCTGGAAAGAGAGAGAGAGAGAGAGAAGGAGAATTCTCCCTCCAAAGCCTGGGTGTGTGTGTGTGGGGGGGGGGGGAGATGGCCATGCCGCAGTCCCTTCTCCTCCATTCTCCTCTCAGGATTCAGGCACACACGCACATGCACCCAGTGTGATGTTCAAGTTGCCAGGTCTGGAACTTGAACCAGGCAAATGGGATCCAGCACCTTAACCTCCATTCCATTGCTGGTCTGAAAGAATTTCGTGTTAATTTGCCATCTTGACGTTTTCTAAGTGCAGAGGGTGTGGTGTTATGTACACGCACATGTTGCGCAGCCGTCACCACCCTCTGTCTCCAGGACTTTCCATCCTGGGAGACAAACTCTGTACCATCAGGCGCCAGCTCCCATCTCCCTCCTCCCCAGCCGTGGCAGGCAGCCTTCTATTCCTCATCGTGGCTGCCCACTCTCAGGGGCGACTGCATTTGCAAAGCGTGGTCCTCTCCAGAGCAAACTCACAGTCTTCTGTGCTCTGTCCTGGCCCTACCTTGGGGAAGGTGAATTGCTGGGAGCCAGTGCCCTGCCCTGCCCTGCGGCCTTGGAGTACAGAGAGATTGCGTTGTGCATCCTGTCATGTGTCACATGGCAAGGGCAACTGAAAATAGCTTGGGAGGGACTTATTTTACTTGGTTCCAAGGATGACCTCTGGGCCACCTGGTGCAGGAGCAAAGCCTAGGGCTTTTGGGTGCAGTCCCTGGGGCCAGACTGTCCGGTTTCACATCCAGTTCTCCACTTGCTGGGTTACGGAACCCCCGTGTCCCATTTCCTCATTTGCAGCTGAAGACAAACAGGAGCTCCCTTCTACGACTACGGGGCCTGCAGGACGACGAGAGGGGTGTGGAGGCCACGTGCAGACGTAGCGTGGCCTGGGTGCCGGCAGCCAGTGTACCTAGCTATAGCCAAGTCAGCTCTGATGCAGGCCCTGTTCCTGGCCAAAAACCACACCAGGCATTTGGCAATGCTGCAGAATCCCATCTCTACCAGGAGCGTCAGGTGCCAGGACCTTGCCAATCCATCTGATGAGTCCTCCATCTCCCTAGATCTTGTTATTTCTTATGTGTACTTAATTTTTTTTTTTTTAAGATTTTTTTTCGCCATAGGGTGCATGAACTTGCTGGAGAGAGACAGTGAGAGAGAGAGAAATCACTCCCCCCTCAAGCAGGGGGTAACCCTTATGCAATCCCTTCTTCTCCATTCTTTTCTTAGTATTTGGGTGGACACACACACACACA